TAAAAAGCAAATTGCAAACTAGGTTTGTCACGTTGCACAAACACTGGAATTTAACATCCTTCCTACGAAGCGAACCCTAACACCCCAGTCACATTTGTCGTACGGCGGCCGTAACACCCCAGTCACATTTGTCGCACGGCGGCCGCAAGTCGACCGCAGAACAATTAAATCGGTGAATTTCTGCGGCGAGCGTAGAAAAACTCCGCTCGCCTTGCGGCCTCCATACGGCGTATCGAGTTTTTTACAGGCCGCAGGGTCGCCGTAGAAATTATAACTCGGAGTTATAATATTTGTTCATTTCTGAGGTCCCCGTAGAAATCAACTGGCTCAACAAGACTGAATCATTATTTGTCAATGTTTCACGATCACTTTTCATTTGATATTACATCCTAGTACTATGAATAACATTTATAAATTGTCCCGATGTAAATAAAATGAAAAAAGTATTATTTATCAACAGAAATTTAAAATTCACCGTGCGCAGGTGCAGCTGCCGTGGGAAATGTGACTGCAAAAGTATGAGAGCGCAGAAATTCCACGGCGAGCGTAGAAATGTTACTGGCCGCAGAAATGATAGACCGCAAGGTCGTCGTAGGATAATGTGACTGGGGTGTAACTGTTGCATTTGTTTTGCTATCAAATGCCAAAAATGAAATTTTCAAACACTGAAGTATATAAACAACAGTATTGTAGAATAGCTGTTTTGCAATTATTTTTAACATATTTTTCTCTCTGAAATAAAAACTAAATAAGAAAAACAAATACAATTCTAATTTATTCAGTGGTAACTAGAAATGTTAATCAAGAAAAACAATAGACATCCATAAACGATGTCGCATCTTGCATTGTTACAATACATACGCAATTTTCTTGTTAATCAATCAGAAACGTATAGAAATGAACACCAATTTGACGTCATCTAACGCCGCTGGTTGGCATTAGATAATGAAAATTCTGCAGGTAAAATATTATACGATCATTCAGAGTCATTAGAGAGCTTTCAATATAAGTTATTTGGTAAACGTGTATGTCAATTTGTACGTGTAAATGAAAATACAGGGTGTTACATAACACAGCCTATTGGTGATAAATCTCCGGATGTAGGGCTTAATATAAAGATCAAATGTATATTTGTAACTTCTTGGTAAATTTTTGGTCTAAAATAAAATGGGATGATATTTAAAAGTATAGGTCTATCTTATCTGAAATTGCTTTTGGCGGTGAACATTATGAAACACCCTGTACAAATACTGGAGTAGAGTTTGTTATGCAACGAAATGGCTCGCATAATAGATAATAATATAAGTATCCCTCCTTGGTATCACGAAAAAGAACAATGAGCAAATGCGAACTGCAAATTACATGCTCACACGTTTTCAACAATAGTAATAGAATCCTAAAATGGCAGCACCAGCTAAATTGTTTAACAAAATGTTGTTTTCTTAGGCTTTTCCTCGAAAATGGGAAATTGGGCACATTTTACCAGTTCATAAAAAGGGCGATTAATCTAATATATAAATTTCTGTCCAATAACGCTCCTTTGTTGTGTTCTAAAATAGATGGACGTACGTATTATTTCAAAAGACTATTTGGCCATCTACTATCTAACGATCTATTCTACAATTACCTTCAAAGTGGTCATCTCCCAGGGCATAGTCCCTAGTCTCAATTATTCAAGGGGGGAGAAAGGCGTCCAATATTTTCGTCTGGTACAAACCGAGATACTCCGAAATTCACGAATCGAGTCAGATTTCTTTTTATTTACCATTTCATTGACAACATATGCATTTATTATGCCATTTTCTTGTGTCTGGAGTAACACCGTCCGTTTATGAACTTGTTGACATTACCACGGAATATAACTGATCATCTCAGTAAAAATGGTGACCTTACTCTGCGGAAATGGAGATAATGTTCCACAGCTATTTCTGAGGGCAATACAACAGCGCCCAGTCTCTAGAAAATAGGTTTTAAGCTTTTTAAAACCTCGATCAATAATTGGAACCGATTTCACTTATCAGTTACAGGTATTTTGGTTATACACGAACTGAGCATTAGTGTCGTTTGTAATATCTTCAAAGTATAGTTCACCAGTTGAAGACGACAAATTTAGCTTACAGTCAGCAAATTTTAGCTTTGAAATGATCGAAAAAAGAAAATTGACGAAATTTATAGAAATACCGGATGAAATGAAAATGTACCGGACGCAAGCCATTCGGTATTAACAGGCTTGCGTCCAGTACATTTTTTATTTCGTCCAGTATTTCTAAAATTTCGTCATTTTTCTTTTATCGATCACTTTTAAGCTAATATTTGCAGATTGGAGGCTGTATCGTTAATTCATACACAAGAAAATTGCATATCTTGTCAATGAATGGTAAATAAAAAGAAATATAACTTGATTCGTGTATTTCCTGAAAAATCAAAATATTTCAGTGCTTAACCCCACATTACAGAAAAACTTGATGGATTACTGTCATTTTATAAAAATTGGATGCTCACCAATGTACTGGGAATCTGATGAGCCTGTTTTTAGGAAAGGACACACTGTAAAACGATCACAGGCTATCGAGTAAAATTACACCTACCTCTCTCTGGATCAAAAATGGAGGTCTTCGTCTAGTTGTACCAGACGAAAATACCCGACGCGTTTCTATCCCCTGTTATTAAGTATTATTGATTTCTTTGAAACATAGGATAATTTTCCTTAGCATAGGAAATTATCCTATGTTTCAAAGAAACTATCAAATGAAGAAGAGTCTGGGGAAAATGTAATGGGGATTTGTTCAGATATCTTTGCTGCATTTGATACCTTACCTCATTCGACACTTCTACAAAAACTGAAATCTTATAATACTGGCGTTCCACAAGGCTCTCTTTTAGGACCTTTACTTTTTTCTTATATATATAAACGACCTCCCAGAAAAGCAAATTTTATATTTACGCCGATAATACATTTCTATACTTACCATATTCGAAGGCAAACCTTATTGGAAAGAACAAAATTTAACAATCTGATTATAATGCAATTTGCTTATGGTGTCAGACATGGAAAATGAATTTCAAAGTAACCAAAAGTAAAGACATTGTATTCTCGAACCCAAGAAAATGTGCTCATGACCTAATATTGGAAACGGCACGCAAGTTGATCAGCAAAATCATTTAAGGCTTAATTCTACATAAAAAAAACTCTCTTTCCACCAACACATCACAGAGCTCACTAAAAGGATTGACAACTGAATAAAGCATATTTGTTGATTAGACTTTTTCCCTTCTTTGATGAAAGCTGGGCGGCGCAATCAGTTAAAGCGCTGAGTTTTAGGCCGGGAGTTAAGCGTTCTTTAACTGCGAAAGAGTGGGTTCTGATAGTGAAAAGTAAGAATCTGATATTCCTTTTACAAGTTGCTGCCACAAATCTCTACATATTGTAATCACCTCATAATACAAAATGCAATGTTTCAGTGGAACTCAATTGATAGTACTATGGACAAATAACCTGGAGCTAGAGCGAAAACAATATGAAGACTTTGTCAATGATGACGTTCTAGAGTCGTCGATTCACTGTTTATATCGGCAAAGAACTCCACAATAGCAAGTTACAATTACTACAATTTATTGTTCAGTATTAAACTCAAATAACCTACAAATAAACATACTTGGCATAGGGAATACATCCACTACGACATTAGCTATACGAAACCGTTTGCGAGGTGAAGACAATATAATTTCTCCTCGTGATAGGCTAAAGTATACATCAAAAGTTATATAATGAATATATAAGATATAATGAACAATATAAAAGGTTAACGTTTACTCCAGAACTTATATATACAACAAGGAGAACTTATATACTATAAGGAAAACTGGAAAGCTTATGTATAATATAAGAATATGTATTATAAAACATCTCCTCTCAAACAATATGAAGATATGTTAAAAATCTTTGGGGTAAGCCCAAAAAAAACTTTTACCACCATCAGTACATTTACCAGTAGATAGATATCGAACATGCACACTAAGTAGGACTAGGGACATCTTGAAGTCTAGCAACTGTCATGACATATTGTTTCAAAATGAAAAAGTTATGGTTGTTATGGTAATAGAAGTTGGGGGTATGTGGAGCAGTGTCACAATTGTGTTTTATAATTCTTTTTCCTGCTCATAATATCTTGGGACTCCATCATTTGTTCCGATTTTACTTCAAATTATGTATCACAACAACATAAGGATTAGTACGGTAGCATTATTTGGTCATTTGACATTACTATTGTTATCCAGTATTATGTATTTCCCACCATTATATAAACATACATGGTGCCTTCTTGACCGGAAATTAAAAGACTTGACCAAACCAATGCTGTCCATCTCTCAGATTGCTGACAACATTGGGTTCCAGCCCAGTCTCATATTTATCTTGAACGTCTACCAAATATTGCTTTCAGATATTCATTAATGTAGAAATTTAACATGATATTATCAGGGGAATATGGGCCAAAAAAGGTACAAAAAGATTTAATGTCAAGACATTCAATTGTAAGATTTGTTTTCTTTGCTCTGTGAATATGTGCGTTGTAGAGGTTCACCATTGGCTTTCCTTTTAATCCAGGGACCTTTTTTCTGAGCACTTATATATTTGTTCTTTGATTATAATGATTAGTGACACTACATAGTTCTGATATGTATCAATGATATCATTACATATTGATTATACTAAAGAGAATACTATGGCAGCAAGAACACAATATTGAGCAAAACAAAACATTGATAGAAAATACAATAATAAACACTGTTTCAAAAAGTTAGCGATATCCTGGAACTGATCCGCATACCCCTCACCACTGTAACCATGACAACCATAACTTTAACAAATTTAGATATTATTAGATGAAAGTTGGTAGATATATTGTTATAAAGTTCCTCTAATCTGTAGCAATTTCATTACAAAAAATTAAAGTCTCTTAAATTTAGAGTATTTGTATCTTTACTTTCCGGACACCCTGTAATTGAGTATCAATGATGTTTGAAAATGGACTTGTATTTACCATCAAAATATGCCTGCACATTTAAGCATTAAGCCACATTTGCTGTTTCCGTGTTCTGACTCCCAGTGCGTGCTCCCGTATCTTGTGTAACAGGGCCAACCTGGTTCTTTCTTTTGAACATCGACATTACCTCAGCTCTAAACTTCCGTGTGCAAACCGAGTAAAGAACAACGTTTACGGCACAGTTACCATACACAGCCACGACACTATATATCGCCAATACAAAGAGCTGAACCTCCGCTTCGATATTCCCCTCGCTCTGGAGTCGAAATAAATCAGGATAAATGAATTGATAAACAACCGTTGGTGTTACTGCTGCGACGAGGAATACGCTAATGGCGAACATAACGGCGGTCATTGATGTCATCTTCGGTTGGACACCGCCTTGGATCATATTCATGCGTTTATACTTTCCCACCACCAAAGCGATGATAATGAAGATGTTGCAGCTGCTGACGCCGATGACAGGAATTATCATGAACACGCAGAGGTCAATCCAGGGGAAAATATATCGAACAAAGTGATAATGGTCGCCGTGGACGCTAACTCCGCATGAGAAGAGTTGTGTGTTGTTCAACCCTTGTATAGATTCATACGTGATAAAGAAGTGAAAGTTTACGGCAGCAAGAAAGCTAGCAAAAAACAAAGCTACGCCGTATATTCTCAACCGAGTGAAGTAGATCCGCAATTTATGGGGAATGCCTACTGCAACCGCTCGTTCTATCGCCACCAACATCACCAGCCAAGCGGAAAAGTCGGTAAAAAGATAATTGAAGAATCGATATGTTTTACAGTAAAAATTCGAGGTGCTGGTGAAATCTTTCCCTGTGATGAACATTAGGACATATCTAGTCGGGCCAATGACAAGACAGAGAATATCTGAGATACTCAGCAGCAAAAGAATCTGGCTTGTTGGAGATTCTCGATAACGTTGACGTCTCAGCACAACTATGTTAAGGATATTTCCCAAGATCCCGACCACCATAAGGGTTGGCAAAGAGACACGCCAGACCTTCACTGCTATCCTATATTGTAAAAAATCACTCAATCGGCCCGTAATAGCACTCGAATTAGTTGTCGCAATGATAGTCATTGGTTCTGCTGTCACGGACTCCATTGTTGCACTGATTGTGTTTTACTGGAAAGTGTTAGCATTTATATAAATCCGTCACAAAGGCTGATTATTAATTTCGTATTAGTTTTTCAATCTGCATATTTATCCTATGCCAAGTAGAGTTTTGGGGAGATAAGTTGGTAAGATATATCCCGTATCCTGATTTTGAGGTTTCCATATCCTGAACCTCCATATCTCCCGCCATATCTCCCGCTCCAGGGCATATCTTCCCGCTTCGAAAAAAAATTTGAAAAAAAGAAAAAATGTGAAAAATGTGAAAAAATAAAAAATTGAAAAAAGAAAAAAATAGAAAAATAGAAAAAATGAAAAAATGAGAAAAATGTGAAAAAATTGAAAAAATAAAAAAAATTGAAAGAAAATTAGAAAACTCTACTTGGTATAGGATAAAGCAGTTATGAACGGTCGATTTGGATATTGGGTTCATCCCTCGTGAGATATGCACATCTACCTTCGGTCCCTACGGTCCCTCAGGTAGATATGCATATCTCCCTCTGGATAAACCCCATATCAAAACCTCCCAGTACATAACCCTTATATATCTGGTATTGGTATAACAGTAATAGACGAACCGAATGTTTTGAAATTTTTATTGAGTAACCACAAGTCTGCAAATTAAAATATATGAAGGGTAAGTCATAATGTGTGCAAGTATTGTAAAATTAAAAATATATATATACCACTGGCGGATCCAGAAGCTAACAAGGGGAGGGGGTAAATTTCAAAGCAGGAAATAAAACTTTTGGGCCCCTAACTCTGAAATTAGGCCAATATTATGAAATTCTGAGACCCATTTTTTAGATAATTTGGGCCCACCCAAGGGGGGGGGGGTTGTAGCAAAATGAAAAATATGGACGTTTTGGGACATTCTGTAATATCCTCAATGGAACAAAATGTTTGTGTTGTATTTCATGATCTCCAAAGTAAACTTTTCTTTCTAAAATGGCGGGAAATTCAAATATTTGAAAATAATAAGATAACAACTTCATTTTCAAAAGGCATATTGTTCAAAAAATGTTTCAGATAGTTTTTCAATTCATGAAAAGTAATATTTCAATGATTAAACTGCTTTCTCAAAACTTTCCACTGGGCCTTTAAATAACTTGAATATGTGCATATATTTTTGCGATCAGTGGTAAAGATTATACAATCGAATTGTTTTCTTGCAAACATTATAATGATTACCCGTTCACGCTTTGCGTTCGTTCGACTTCGCTTCTTAAAAGAGAGCTTCGTCTCCATTGCGTGCAGGATGAATATGTATGCGCAAGTGACAATTGGAAAGTACCAAGAATGGTTACACAACACAACAAGAAAAAGAAAACATCTAAGAGTGCACCAGTTCTTTGAAAAAAACTACTTTTAGAACACCTTGTATATCACATGTAGGGTTTATTCCACACAACCTGTCTTACATCATGCACATACCTTATACAGGGTGACACAAAAATGCCACCCACTTATTTTAATATAACTTTCTAAATAATTGAGGAATCAATTGTGATTTTTCTTGTGTAGATAAAGTGTTCAATGGAGAAAATAGTGTTGTACTTGGATAGCATCAACAACTTTGAGATTTAGAGATATCACGATTTCTGTCCAGGCATGCTCTCAGTGAAATTGTCAAAAATACAGTTTTCTGAAATCTGGGATTTCTATCTTACCTATTATTTCAGTTATTTCTGGATTGCTTATACTATAGCTTCCACATACATCATCAATAATATGTCACATCTACCCATTTTTGTCAAATGACTCGCTTATTGGGTAAAATAAGAAAGACAGATTTTCTAATTTAGATTTTTGAGGGATTTTGTGTCAGAGCATGCCTCCGCGGAAAATGAAATATCTATTGATTTCCAAGTCTTTGATGCTATGCAAAATTCCAAAATTAATGGGTGGCATATTTTGTGTCACCCTGTAATTAGTTTTCTCTTGCTAAAGCTTTATGGTGTTACGGGCTGTTGTTTTTACGTTACTAGAAAGTTAAATGTCTTCCCAAACGAATACACACGAAATCAAACTTGAAATCTTAACTGTATTGCTCAGATAATTTCTTTAAATCCTACATCAAATCTACATCATTGTCTTTGCTTCAAATCGGTTAATGATGACACCGTACATCTAAAGTGCACAACGGCGTGTTTTGTCACTGTACGTTGTCGATGGTTAGGCGTGTCCGAGAAATCCGAGAATGCGTCGACACGTAAGATAAAACTGCTAGCTTGAAGTAATTGCTAGTAATTGAAGAAATTTGATTTATTGCACTTACACACATTTACACAATGGGACCAATTAAACCAAACATCTTACTTAACAGCAGCTAGCACACCTGAGGCTGAAAATATGTGTTATTCATTATAATAGGTTTACGATTGCATTGTTTAACAGTTCTTTTTACAAATCACACATATCCCTACAAAAGTTACCCATTTGACCTTAAGCATATACAGTTATCTAAGAGCCACATCTTTTCAAGAATTGCCCATATATTTAATGAAATCACTTTTGGTACAACGGCACACTATTACAATGTACTGTATATTGTGCTTCTAGACATTAGGCAATTAACATTACAACTTTTAAACATTCATAGTTATAGAAACTAAAACGAAGTTATTGGGTCTGGAGGTATTGTGATATATAGATTAAGGGACAATGTGATCTGGGACTGGTTGCGGATGAGACAATAACTAGCTTGTTGACAGACAGACACAAGAACACAAATGTGTACAAAATGTCCCCACCAATGGGTGATCCCGTCAAATGGTTATCCTGAAAATGAGTAGACAGGACTTCAGCGACTCAATTTGAGGACGGGAAATCCAAATTGGCACCTTAAATTTTAACCAGAATGCCATAAAATTAGTCAGTTCTAGATTTTCATACTATGAACCATCCCAGAAAATTTGAAATTGATCCGACAAACAGTTAACCAGAAAACGGGTAAACAAGACTTTACAGACAAGATTTAAGGATGGAAAATCCAAAATGGCTGCCTTGACATTTACCCAGAATGTCAAAAAACTAATCAGTTCTAGATTTTCATACTGAGAATCATCCCTGAAAATTTGAAATTGATCTACCAAACGTTTCACCTGAAAACGCGTAGACAAGACTTTACTGACAAGATTTTAGAACGGAAAATCCAAAATGGCTGCCTTGACACTTACCAAAAATGCCAAAAAACTAATCAGATCTAAATTTTCATACTAAGAATCATCCCTGAAAATTTGAAATTGATCTACCAAACGTTTCACCTGAAAACGCGTAGACAAGACTTTACTGACAAGATTTTAGGACGGAAAATCCAAAATGGCTGCCTTGACATTTACCCAGAATACCAAAAAACTAACCAGATCTAGATTTTTGTACTGAGAATCATCCCTGAAAATTTAAAATTGATCTACCAAACGGTTCACCTGAAAACGTGTAGACAAGACTTTACAAACAAAATTTTAGGACGAAAAAATGCAAAATGGCCGACAATAAAAAAGTGATTGTGAGTTTTTGCTGATTTCTTTTTACAAAATTATCACATATAACTACCATTAACAATAACATAGGCTTTTACAACAAAGTACACATGAAATTATTTATAAAGCTACAAAATAGTTGAAGTATGAAAACTCAAAAACACCATTCAATATGATACAAAGTATTATCACACGCTAACTTTTCTTAAGACATTGAAATGGCTGCCATGACTGAGCTAACAGGTCCAAAACCTAATCAGATGGAGAATGAAGTGAGCTGAACAAGATGTTAAAGTTTGAAAAGCAACTGTGAAGGACGGACAGACAGACAAACAGACGGACGGACGCGCCTAGGCCGACAATATGACCCCACACTATGTGGTGGGGACATAAAAAGAAATCACAAAACTATATACCCTCTGTAAAGAAAACACGGCATTAACATGACAAAATGTAACCACCTAGTTGCTCACAATATTATGAGTTCAATCTTAAGTCAGATTTGAATTTCTGAGAACTTGTAGATGATCTTGAAAAAATAATTTGGTCAATTTCAAGCAAGTTGAAAAATATATTTTTGACCCTGAAAAGGTCATTGAAAGTGAAATCTCAAATCTAAAGTCAGATTTGAACTTCTGAGAACTTGTAGATGATTTTTTAAAAAATGGTCGATTTGAAGCAAGATGAAAAATATCTTTTTGACCTTGAGAAGGTCATTGAAGGTCAAATCTCAAATCAGATTTGAACTTCTGATAACTTTAGATGATTTAGAAAAAAATTGGTCAATTTGAAGCAAGTTGAAAATACCTTTTTGACCTTCAAAAGGTCATTAAAGGTCAAATCTTAAATATAATGTCAGATTTGAACTTCTCAAAACATGTAGGTGATTTTGAAAAGAATTGAAGTCAGTTTAAACAGTATTTGTTAAGTCATTGGAAGTTGTAAGAATTTGTTAAAGACGCCGATCGCAAACCACCAACCGCCGTCAAAAAACGGAGACCACCACACTATGTCACCACTTCTAGGTGGTAACATAAAAAGGTGCAATGTCTTTTACCCATCATATCTTTTTTATTTTTTGTTATAATTAGACCAAACATTCAGAGGTATGATGTGCACTTTGGCCAAATGGAGAAAGTTCGAAGAATTTCGTTATGATAAAAAAGTGACAAAGGATTGAACAAAACTCCCAAAATCGTGAGTGTGACTTTTAACCATAAATTGACGTCATAAATTCGAGAAATCCTATAACCAGCAATATGCTCCAGAAAGGGATCTTCTGAGACATGAAGTTCAATTGTTAGTTACGTTTAGAAGAATACACTATTTTAAAAGTTTTCAATCCAATTAAACTTTGTTAAAAATATCAGTTATATAATGAAAGTCCGATTAATTACAACCATTTTGTTATAAAATCTGAGGAAATATCCTTCAGATTCATAGGTCTCTTCTCAGTTAAAAATGTTAGGGGTGGGGGTAACATATATTACAATAAACTGGAAATTGTAAGATAATTATAACTCTTAATCTTTCTCAATGACCCAAAAATATGTTATACATCCTATACTTAGCTCATGCATACCAAACAAAATTTTTGTCAGATGTGACATATAAATGTGTTTATTGAGCAAAATGGTTACATCATATCCCTAATTTGACTGGTATTTGAATCGTAAACGTGTCTAAACATCATGTTTTAGGCGGGTTTTGGCACTTCCATAATTTTCTGTCAGTGTGTCAATGTTTATTTTAAACCTGTCAGTTATAACCAGTCCAGTCGGGGACAGGCTTTACAATGGTTATAGAATATAACATATAGAAATGATATCTTAGGCTTAGAGGGAAAAGTATACTCTGTATAATAGCAAAATGTAATTTATGACGTAATTTAATGGAAAAAGTCACATTACTGACATGAAAATAAGATTTGCACAATCAAAAAGTATTGTTAACCTTTGAGGAACAAATACATATCATCGTTGTGAAACAAAATTTCCAAGAAAGAAAGTATCTATATAACAGGCCAAAGTGTTTTCAATTATGTAGAGGTTGTAACAACTTGGACAGTGTAGACCAAAGTGAGTAAACTTAACACAAGCACTTTAAATCTTGTTTTATTTTTATGAAATTAATATTGGTATCAATATTAATAGGTATTGTACATAAGGACACATAGATAAGCATACAACACTGTACAATAATACACAATATCTATATAACAGCCGATTCTCCAATTCCTTATAATTCTTTTTGAAATAAAACCACATGTATCTATGTCTGACGTTTGTAAATGGAGCTGCCAGAGTGCTGATGAGTTGACATAAAATTCTGAATATCTTTTCAGAAAAGAATTATGTAATCACTGTTACGCGGAATATGGCATATATTCATGGTTGCGCGGTATTTGTGATACGGATATATGACATACTCACCTGCTGTATACAGGTATATGGCATATTCCGCAGGTGAGTATGGCATATACCGCAGTGAAAATGCGATACATTGATTTCAGTGAATACCCGAAACTCACCTGCGGAATATGTCATACCCCACATAGGTGAATATGACATATACCGCAGGTGAAAACGTGATACAGAAAGTCTTGATTTGATTTGTTACGAGAATCAACTCCAAATGTAAAACTATGCAGGATTACCAATATAGTTAGTGCTTCGAGTACTAATGTATGAATCCTCGATTTACTGAGAAAGTTTATTACGTGAGATTGCTGAGTGATATTTCTGCATGAGTTGATATATTTGATGCTCTGTACTGTTGATTCAGAAATCATTTCAATAATTCATAAAATTTTGCCCATTCGTTCAATCGATGCAACTGACAATTATGTACTTCCGTATCACATTCTCATTGGTTAGTAAGTATGCCATATACCGCAGGTGAATCTGTCATACACCGCAAGTGAATATGTCATATTCGTTGCGGAATATGACATATATTTGTATTGTGTTTACCGCGTAACAATCACAATGTAACCAGACAATTTCACAATTTGGCAGCATTTCAAACTGCGTGCCTAATATGTATGCAACTTGAATACCGTCACAGGTAGTAATCAAACAGCACTCTCATGCAAAATCCGCAGATTCTGGTAGCAAGTCCTTAGATATTTAAATTTTTTTGATTGTATTTAGATAAACTTGGTCGACTATATTTGATATAGGCATGCACAAGGCCATCTACTTAGGGTGCAAATGTAATTGTATTTTCAAATATCTAATATTATGAAATTAACTATAAAATATTAAAAACCCAAATTAATCTCAGATATATGAATAACAGCCTACATATGAACAAATGACGTTTGGTGTTCTAGAATAACAGTATGATGCAAGACGCAGCTGTGTGTGTATAACAAATATTAAAATTGAGATCGATGTTGATTCAGATAAAATTGAAATGCCATTTGTGATATGCCTAAACCCTTAAATGGTTAGGGGGCAGATCAAAGATTTCAAAGATTTTTTCGATAACTTTTTTCGTAGTTCACGTCTTTTGAACTGAAATGTTCTGGCTTTCTTAAAATTGAATAATTGGCATTTTCAACGAAAAAAACCTCTGACTCACCAGGAGGAAAATTATAGCTGGCTAAAGTTACTGACATGCCCAAATTGTCTTCAAATTCATCCAAAATTTGTATTTTCTTATGTTAACTAAAAACTCATTTTCAAAAGTCTGTGGAATTTGTTGGAATTATGTCATGTTGCATGACGTCTTAATAAAATATCCTGGTATAAGTATAAATTTGCAGGACATCTAGAATGGGCCAAAAATGGGTAGGAACTGTCAAGTTTCATACCATGCACTTTTCTAATACAAATCTAGTAAAATATTAAAACATCGTAATGTAAAAATATTACAATTAAAATTAATGAGATAACTTTACGACTACATCTGCTTCACTATAAAAATACATAAACTCACAACAGAGTCCATACTGATAACGATGCTTGACAGAATAACATTGGTCAAGACCTATTCTGCTACTGACAAACTTAAACAAAGGTTGTGTTCTATGGTATCATATTTATAATCAAGTTCCATACCATGCACTTTTCTAATACAAATCTAGTAAAATATTAAAACATTGTAATGTCAAAATATTACAATTAAAATTAATGAGATAAATTACAATTACATCTGCTTCACTATAAAAATACATAAACTCACAACATTTATAATTAATCATTTACATGTTGCTGTTACAAGAACATGTTCAAAAAACATCACATAAGTGATGTGCTGAAAATGTATACTAGGGTGTGTAATGCAGGATTACTATTACCAAATGGAATAGTAATCTCAAATACCTGTGTGCTACTCTAATACTGTACCATTTTTATCATTAAGTGTATTTACATGTTTAAAGGGATATTCCTTGCCAGACAATCCCTCTCCTGATATGGAAGGTATAACCATATACAATGTTTGATATGTTCGATATTGATCATTTAAAAATATTGTGCTCATTTTGTGGAGGCTGCCGTCTTTTAAAGTTTCAATTTTCTTTTTCATTTATGGTTAAATTCTTCAGATACAGGGTGGTCAAAAAACTGGTAACCCTTACACCATTTCCTAATATCTTTGTCATTTTAAGAAATAACTTTATACATTTGTACATCATTCAATTCCCTACCTACAGCCTACTTTATTTCACGACCATCAGATTGATAGTCACAATGTAACAGCACTTTAAAGAACATTCCCGGTGGTGACTATTGCCCGGCGGTATAGAGAAATCTGTACATGTCGTCCAAAATGTCCCCACCTATGGGGATATGGCAGAGATAGAGAGTATAAGAATGACCTCAGGACAATTGCAGACCTCAAAAGTGAGATCATCTGTATCATTCAGGCCATACCTGCTGAGGAATGCATTTGGGTCATTGACAACTTGTGCAAGATTACCTACTGAATTACGTGATGGCCAAACCTGATGCATGTTGTTCAAAGTGCTGTAACTTTGTGACTATTAGTCTGATGGTCATGAAATATGGTAGGCTGATAGGAAATTGAATGATTTACAAATGAGTAAAATATCTGGGAGTAATTTTTTAAATGACAAAGATATAAGGAAAATGCAGGGTTTCCATTTTTTCCATCACTTCCTGTGTGAAATCTTAAAAGATGGCAGCCTACTGGAAATGAGCACTACATTTTTAAATGTTAAATATTGACTGTATCAAACCATTTTCCCATGTTTTGCTTATGTTGAAAGGGAGGATGTAGTTTTATAATAATAGCTAACATATCAGGAGAGAAATTGTCAGACATGGAGTTTCCTTTAAAAAATTGAATGATGCGTAGAAAATGTATATCTGAATACACAGGGTAAGTAATGTAGAACTATCAAATGAAATTGTAGTCTAAAAGATTATTTTCGTAGTATTTCTAATTAAAAATGGATGAAAAGTCTCGTATTCTGTAATATTAGTAATAAGTATGTAGGTAGCTAATAACTTTAAAAGGTTCTTATTAATGTTAAAGTCATTTATCATAAATCTATGACATTATAAAGTTACATAATTATATTGTCCACCTAAATTGTTATAAGATTTGAATAAGGATATCATTACACATTGGAAAATGGTTTTACCTACTAATGAATGCGCTGATACTCAGAACTCCCTTAAACAATAGAATGCTAATAGTATAATGTGAATATCAACCATCATACACATTGAACATAATAAAATAAATTCTAGTAATTAATTCACATTTAGGGTCAATAAAGCAACCATGAAAAAACAAAAATTACAGTAAAACCTGTCTAAGTGGAAGATCTTTGGTAGTCCTGAAACTGGTTCTGCTCGAGAGGTGTTCCACTTATAGAGGTTCATTTAACATTAAGTCAGTTTGTCGTTGGACTCTGAAAAGTGTTCCACTAACAGAGGTGTTCCACTTATAGAGGTTTTCCACTTTACAGGTACACTGTACATAGAAGTGTTAGGTTGTCTTGTAGACAGAGCTGTACATGATTGTAGCGGGTGCTATGCCAAGTACGTATCAGAGAATATGAAAACAATTGGTCAGACTTCGGCCTCCCTTTCTCTTAGGTGTTCGAATTCCAAATAAATTGATGCACTCATGATGTAAGTTTACAATGGTGGTACTGTCCGATTAACCATTTGTTGTTATAGGTACATATACAGGGTGGGCCAAAAAAAACGCCACTTTTTTTCAAAATGTTATAACCTTTTTAATTTTTGGTACAAAATCATAAATTGCATACCAAATGAAACTTGAATTTGTTATCTAGCCATGGATCATGAATTGTATACTTTTACTTGAATAAAATATGTCACCAGCGTCTCACTTAAACATGTGGTGTGCCATGAGAAATAAGCATAATTTGCAAAATGTTCCTGAACTGATACGGCCTGATGACAGTCAAGCTAATAGCCCTGGTGTAAACCCCAGTGAGTATAGGGTATGGGAAGGTCCCAAGGAGATTGTATGAAGGCACCCAATTTAAAAAATTGCTCAACTAAAGCTGGTAATTAAGACATGTTGAAAAAAAATTAGCTAATATTCCATTGATACTGCTATATCAGCAAGGCGACTAAAACTAAAATCTATTATCAAATAGGGTGGCGGACCAATTGAACTCCTCTTTTAGATCAAATATTATCCAAGTTGAAGGACTTGTTACATTAAATTATTACTAAGAACCCCTGGCTCTATATAACTGCAAAGTTTGGGGTATGTAGGTTGGAAAATAAAAAAGTTATAGTGTCTTGAAAAAAAGTGGCGTTTTTTTTGGCCCACCCTGTATAGGCATTTAAACAGTGATGAACTTCAAATTTACATTCAGGTATTCAGTAAATAATACTGTTTTTATCCTCAATTGAACTTCTTCTTTGTTGCTGTGTATCTTTCCATATACTGAAAAGAAAATATAATCAATTTAAATAGTGCATGTTGTTCTAAAATACTTATTGACACCCTGTATGTACATTATATTGAAATAGCACAACAAAATTATACACATAACAGTACAATGATCTAACTAATAATTCATAACTAATTTGATGTACTGATTATAACCTGATTAGCTCCCTTTAAAGAAGGCAGATAAAGTAACAAAAAACAGTTGGCATCCATCAATGATTTACATTTTAATGATCAGTAATCAAATAAATGATCTTGTTACAACATGCTGGACAAAAATTTAAAAATGGCCCTAAAAAAATATAGGACAGGCTAACTGAATTATCTCTGAAAAGTACTTAAAGGAATACTCCTTGCCAAACCATCTCTCTCCTCATATGGTAGCTATAACCATATATATGCTTGCCATGTTTAGCAAAACACGCAAAAATGTTTTGAAATGGTCAAATTTGATCACTTAGAAATGTGATGCTCAATTCCAGTAAGCTGCCATCTTTTAAAATTTCACACAGGAAGTGATGTCATCGACTCTCAACTTTGCATATAGCATTAGGTGAGGAGCTATTAAGAATTAAAAAACCAGCTAAATATTCTTTTTCAACTTTGTATCTTATTTAATCCTTCTGAAAATCTCTTCTTTTATTCTAAGTTGACAAGCCCTGAAAATATTTTTGCACAGAAAGTAATGATCACTTGTCCAGAAGTGATTTTGTGCTACTTTCCTATACTGTTATGGGCAAGGTTATAGAAGTTGAGAGTTGATGACATCACTTCCTGCAAGAAATCTTAAAAGATGGCAGCTCACTGGAAATAAGTACTAGATTTTTAAATGATCAATATTGACCATATTAAAACATTTTCCCATGTTTTGCTAAATATTGAAACTATATATATGATTATAGCTACCATATCAAGAGAGAAAGGGTCTGGTAAGGGATATTCCTTTAAGTGTTGGATGATCAAAACCTTAAGTGAACTCTAGCTGTAATAAAAACATAATCTAACAAATAGTGACCATTCAAAATTGCCAAAAAGCTTTTTTGATAGAAAGATGGCAGCACCTACCTCCTCATAACCATCTAAGTTATGAAAAGCTTTGTTGTCGAATACATTCCCCTCTATGGCTAGTAAACATATCTGTGACTCTTTCATGATCTTGGTTGTAAATGCCTTCAGCTCAAGACAATTCTCTTCCAATCTTAGCACCTTCAATCGAGGACATTCTGCTATACTCTCTGATAATCTAGATATCTGAAATCATACAGACACGTAAACCATACCTGTATTTTTACTTAAAATGAACTTAAATAATTTTCAAAGGAAACCTATAAATGGTTCAATATCTGAAAACATACAAAACCTAATTATATTTTCATTTTGGTGAGGCTATTTAAAATTTATTGAATAATTATGGATAAAACTGTTTTTTTTACATATACAGTATTTATTTACAAGTGCCATACACATACAAGCTTCTAGCCAGGGAGTTCAGGGGGTGCAAGCGAACTCCCCCTGGCCAAATATTCTTTCAAAATTCTTTCCCCAATTGTTTTTCACCATTCTGAGCAATTCTCAAGTGATTTTGAGCTAGTATGGTCAAATATGAACCCTCTCTGGTATTTTTAAAAAAGTGGACCCCCTTGGCAAGAGCTGGCTACAGGTCTGCATGATTGCCTTACTGCAGGGGTTTAATTAGCAACAGGCAATAGGCGATTTTCATCAGTTGTTTTCACAAAATCGACTGTTGTTTTTAGGGACTTTTCAACTCTTCCATGTTAAATTAATGATTTCCATTAATTTGTCTGTTCTTTTCATTTATTTAGCCTGTTTTGAGAAATTGTCGTGAAACCCCTGGTAACTGAATTCACTTCATGAACTCACCTGATTTTGATTCAAATTGATTTCGATGGCCTGCATATTGTTAACCTCATGTGGTATCTCCAGGATCTTATTATGCGACAAGTCAATAACATCTAGATTTTTCAGTCCACAAAATCCAAGAGGAAATGTCTTTAATTGATTGTGTGATAAAGATACTGTCCTTAATGCCTTTAGTTCAACAAATGCCGTAGGGATACTTGTCAGTCTGTTGTTGCTGACTAGAAGTGATTCCAGTTTTTTAAGCTTGCTTAGTTCATTTGGTAATCCTCCTAAAAATATGAAAACAAACATATCCAGATAACTAATTCTACATTTACTCATCCTACCCTAAAAGGTTCACTGTTTCTATGCAAGGTTTTTTCTGTCATCCTGCTTACTGCGTCAGAGCTTTATTTATTAAAATTCAGTTGTTGATTGACATATAAACGAAAATCTCACTGCAACAAGTTCATCATTTCAATTATAAAAAAATATACAAATCACAAACCTAAACGATTCTGATTTAAGTTCAAACTTTTTAGCATCAAAAAGGCTCCTATCGATGGCGGTATACTGCTTATTTTGTTCTCTGATAAATCCAGTGTTCGCAGATTTTTCACAAGCTTCTGGAGCTCAGGGGGGAACTGAAACATATCAAATAGTCATGAATTACTTGTAAACATTTATGATCATCTGAGGGAGTATTGGCCATAAATCAATTTGAACTTACAGTACCAGGCCCATAGCCTGGAGAGGGGTTGGACATCTGTAGTTTTTCACCATTCTGAGAACTGGTCAAGTGATTTTGGCCAAAGCTTTTGAAAATTTACCCCCCCCCCCCCCACCTTGGCAAAAGCTGACTACAGGCCTGAGTAAATTCACTTTAATCTTACAAATTGTCTACTTCAATTGATTTTCTAGATATCATAACTCAAAAGAAAGAACATAGACTGAAGCACGCACTTTCTGTAAGTCAATGGTTGATTGCTGACACCTAAAGCACACTTGTTCCCATGACATGTGTGACATTTATTCATATAATCAAAACAGTGAGTTGAAATATATTTGGTTATATTCAAGTAAAAAAGACTGGAACTGGTCAGGCTTGAATTATAGACAAAATTTGATGGAAATTTGGTTGATTAAATTTTAGTCTAATTATATGATCTACATACTTTGGGAATTATACATTTAAGATTTATGACAAACAGAAAATGAAGTGAGCAATTTCGCAAGTGAGATATTGCATTATTATTTTGTCTGGAATTTATACTAATGTTTAAAAACATCTAAAATTTCAAGAGAAGCCCAATTGAACAGAGGAAATTTTTATTTTCATCATTTCTACAAAGAAAGAGGTTGATTTGTAAACAAATATTTTACTCGAATGTTAATATTAACATCCAGTTACTGAAAAGCGAATCAGTCACGAGTATATACATCCCAGGGCTCCAATAATCAAGTGAGAAACCCTTCGCTTTGGCAACCAGTGGGTCATTAACAGAAACTTTGTAACAAATTTGTTAATCAATTGTTGTAACCATTGAATTTAATGATGCCATAGTGAGAGAACAATTGAACTTGAATGGAATGAAAATACATGTATTCAGACCATAACCATACAAAGTATTAAAGTTTGGTGTTAAAAACATATTTGTTTACATAGGAAGTGCTGTTCAAAGTGGCCGATGCAGTAAATTAATTTACATATATTTTACTTCCCCTAGCTATTCCACTTGACAATATGCTTTGTTACATTCCATGGCATTTAACTGTACCTTACTATTTAATTGAAATGTTATAATATGTTTATCTTTGTGAAGTAATGCTTCCTCATATCAATAATTGAGTGCAAAAAATGTCATTGCAATTTCCATGTTGGACAGTACAGAATAATAGCTAAAAGTAGCCCCTCAGGAAAGGTCACTGAACAGAATCTTTTGAATTTTTCAGAAAATGTAGCCAATATATTGCTCTAACTGATATATCTTCGAAATTTTAGAAAATTGTCTGAAACAAAAATGGGGTCATAAAAAGGAAAATAGATCGCCTTTCAATTCAGTTTTTTCATTTTCTATGAATCACATTTTCAAAGATTTTACTATTTAGAGCAATACAGTACATGTATATTGGGCACGTATATTACAGAAGAAGTGAGTAGCTCCGACAATTCTTTCACATTCTATTGTATTCGGGGACTCTCCACATCTCCCACATCATCTCCAATCAAATTGCAGGATGTGATCATGTGAACAATCATGAGCATGTGCTCTCTCAGTGCTGCGCATGCTCAAAATTAAATTTGAAATCATGGGAATGGCGTTAAGATCAGTTCAACATCATCATTTCAAACCTACGGTAATACTATTGAAGTTACTCAATCCATACTTGTAGAGAATACTCATGAAACTACAGCGAACATTTGGAAATCAATTTCAATGGAAAATAAGGCCTGTTAATAAATTTTGTTTTCGAACGTGCCAATACGAAAGGTCATCTTTGGGAAATCCTCCCCCCCTGCATATATTAGGCGTAAATATTTTCGAAACAAATGCTACATATTTCGGACCAAATATGGACATAAATGGCAATGGCGTGCAAAGACCGAACAGAATGCGTTCACTTTTTTCGCCATTCGGATTTTCACCGTATCATTTCATAAAAAACGATTTTTAAAATTATCAACATAATGCGTAATTTGTGTGATTTTTGATCATACACGCTAAATTGATGCGTGATTCCTATTTTTCCAGGAAATGCCTGACAATCACGCCTAATGCGTGAGGATTGACAGGGCTAAGCTTACCTCGTCAAGCCCCTGTTTTCCGAGTTGGCAAGCTCCTGATTTCTCTGCACGTTCGATGTGAGGTTTTATCGAATTTCCCATCTTCACTCGTTGATATGTTGTCCAACAAATATTCCTCTCATATTATATCATCATTAAATAGCTAATTTCAATTAAAATACAGAGAAATGATAATATTATTATTTGTAAAAAAATTTCTACCTTTTTACCGGAAGTAAATTAAAATTACGCTGTACGAAAAAGCAACATACGGCTTAACCTCCCGGGAATAAAGATTCAGTGGCAGTACACTACACTAGAAATCTGAATATTTTCTTATTTCTACAATCAAAAGAATTTGTAACAATTCTTTTGAGATTATTACTATGATCGCGACAATCTCCTCTCTTGTTATTAGACCATACTTTTACCCACAAGGGGTAGGAGGTCCTATAATTTATACCCCCATAAATGTGGGGTCGAATTTTCTTATATTTTATCATTCTTAGTATTGGCACTAAAATATTAAAAAATAAGAAAAAACGCCAATTCGACCCCACATTTATGGGGGTAATAATTTATGGCCCTACTCTCCCGGCATTGATTTATATGGTGACCTCTTTGTGCTCTTTCCCTTATTTTCTTATAATATACACAATCAGGGCCAGTAAGGGCCTTTAATAGGGGGACCATAATCCCGGGGGGGGGGTCCATAATTTCTTTCACACCTGGTCTCAGATTTTAGATATATCTACTCAGATCAGAACCTGTACTCAGATACAATATCTCCTAAAGATTCGCGATATGTTGAAATTGGTGAAGTTAATAAGGATTTTAATTCTTATTGAATCTATAGTTTTCCAAAAATAAAGTAACTTTGGAAATTTTTATTAGAAAACAGTCATTACAAGATCACCCCGCAATTTAGCCCGACAACGGCAATTGAAGCGACGGTTATGTCCGCCATTTGTGACAATGGTATCTGACTTTACCGTAGTCAGGCTGTTCTGGTGTGAAGGTATGATATGAGCCATGAATATTCTTGAATAGAAATAATTTTTTGTTAAGCTTGTTCGCTAGATCTGATTCTTCCTCTTTAGTTTTTAATGCAGACACATTGCAACATTATCATCGTAAGCCTGTCATATATATTTTTTAAATATATCGCTCTTTATTAGCCGCCCGTATGAATATTGCTTTATGTCTATGGTTCCCTCGGCCGATTGTCATTTTATGGTTCTTTGTACATTCCATTGTTAGGCTAAGAATGGATACATCCATACGTTATCATTTTCTATCAGTTTCAGTGAAAAATATCAACAAAACATGTATTATTCACTTGTAACGTTTATGCCTTTATTGAGACGGGGTCACACTTTAATCGGACGAATTTCACTTTTGCGCATTCGCATAGCGCGGAGTAAACAATTTTTAAAGGATTGAAGAGATATTTGTAAATATATGGATAAATCGTTAAGATTGGGAGTAATACGATGGTTAAAAGAAGGTGGGTACATTTTTAGATATTTAGGACAATCGTGACTGTGTGATAAGCAGGATGCACAGTCGAATCCAAAGTTTTTTCTTTTTTTCGAGAAAATGGCCGGGTAAATGACTGCATCTCAGTTTTTGAAATGTACAGTATGAAAATTTGTACCTTGCACCCAGATAAATAGATTTTGTGAGAGTTGAAAATATCATATCATCAAACAAGAGAGTCATCTCTTTATTGTATTGTACATCCATTGCCTCATTTACATTTTTTATCATAACTTTATTTCCATAAATCAAATACTAATACATACATACATATGAGCGGCTTTGTTAAAAAACATTATAAGCCACTTTGACAATAGTAAAAATAAGAAAATGACAAGGGCTAAAGTGATCTGATAAAACACTATAGTGGTGAGATAATACATTTCAATATTTTAAGATATATAAAAGGATAAGGTTTGATCGAAATGATCTGGGTAGGAATGTCCCTTTAAGTGACAAAATTGTTGTTTTGGAAAACTAATAGAAATAATGCGTTGATTTATAATGTTGTATATGATATTATTTCAATAAAGTAACCATAAAAACTAAACAATGATCATGAACATTTGTAAATACTGGGTTTGCCACAAAACTGGGTATCAGAATATCCATATATGCTCTGATCAGTTATGAAAAAATGGTTCGACATTCAAATTTGCTTTAGTCTCATTTTTAAAATTCAAATCAATCAATTTTGCAGACAAGAATTCAAATAGTCCTGAGTAGGCCAGTGAAGTATTTGGGTTGACAAACCTGTGCACAATTGGTCCTATAGATGGCAGGTAATAACTAAAAACTCTTGAAATGTGCAAATAATACATACATTGAATAAACAAGTAGATTTATTAAAACTAACACAACTGCCCAATAATTCGATTGGTGTTGTTCACATTCTGTTTGATCGGGAACACGTTATTGTTTATATCTACTTAAAGATGGAACCATTTTCAAATATATTTACAATGGTAACCATTATCATACAGAGTGTTAAATGTTTAAAAATGAATGTTTTTAGTGGCATGGATCTTTGTTTCTCCAATCCAATTTCTCCAATCCAGTATATCTTGGACTTTCTAGTCTAAGTTGGGGTGCACTGTGATGGACTCTTCAGTCGGTGCGCCACTCCCAAAATCACTGACTATACCACTAGTTGGTGGTTGTGGGACCATCGCAGCGCAGTCCTGAAAAGTAAAACATTATGTATCATACCCTTATTACCAGGGTTATATGACCATTTGTATAAGACATAACCATTAACCTCAAATTGTAATTACAATTTCACCAATCGTTTCCTGCTATTTGCGCCAAATAATTATTAGAACTTTAGTAAGAGCTGTCTACAAAAGCTTGCAATAACGTACCTGCCCCTTTCAGTTTTATCCTTTAAACTTTTTGATAATGGGATCAAAATAAAAAACATGAGTCAAAAACGCATGTTGCGGATAATTTCAAAATGACGTCAATCCTTGTTACACTGTAAAAATTGATCAGTTGGTCCTCCATCTTCTCTGGAGAGGATGCACAAATCTTTTTTCATGAAATTGTTGTGATGTGCAAATTTTTAGAAGAAGTAAGAGGGTTATGGAGATATCAGGTATATTGATTCGCATTTTGACACAAATTCGTGAGGTCTAGATATAGATCTAATGGAATATAAGTGTTTGCACGTAATTGAGGATCGTTCCTTTTATTATCAGCATGCAAAACTTAATTCGTGTCAAAATTTACTATTTCAAACATTGATTTTTCCCGCATTTTTTCCCGCGTGTAGTCAGGAAGTTGTAGATATAACTTTAATCGATCTAGATCCAAATAGGATCCAAAGTGAGTGGCAGCCTCTTCACACATATTGTTTTTAACAGTTCAACTTTTATTTGTATATTCTTCCACTCAATAGGGCTATTTTGTATTTTCCCATTGATCATGGAACAATTTAACTAAGTGCATATATGTTATATTAATTTAGATGATGTCACACTACCCTACCACTTGCGGGTAATAACAAAATTTTATGAAAAGTTTACCTCTTCGAATTCAGCAGTTAAAGTAAACTCATCGAGTACAACAGGGAGCATCTCTCTCTGAAAAATAAATTCGATTTAAAATGGTGTTTTACCATAAGAATGCAGTTGAGTAAAATCCATGTAAGATTATGCACATTTCTTTGGATTTTGAATCCAAAATGTGATTTTACAATTACGACTAGCACTTAACCTTTACGTACCTCCGTGTCATCAATCATTTCCACTGGTTCAGGCAATGGCCCCTTATATGGATCAAATGGCACTGAAAATATATGTATGTATGTATTTTTGTTTAAATAATCATCTATATTATATTTCTTTCTCTTATCCTCTATATTGTTAAAAAAGCACAGTGTCTCAGAAGCCATGAGAAGTTTTTGGGGGAGAAATAAGCAAGGTTGAAAATTTTAGGCAGATATTTCCAAAAGTACTGACATAAGGCTTCTACTTTATAAAGTACGATACAAATTTAACTTATCATCATTGTTAGATAGCTGTTAGACTATTCAATATTCTGGATCAGTACTGTAGCTTGGAACAAATTACCACATTCTATTCAATCTCAGCCATCTTTATACTCTTTTAAACACGATTTAAAAAAAACACATTTATAAATTGTTATGAATTGTTTCTGTTTTCAACTTATCTTTGTGTAAGCATGTATTAATTTTTCATTAATTACTTAGATTAGCATGTTACAAAATTATGAATGATATGTGTATACATATTGTATTGTAATGTTTGTATTTTTATCCATATTTAAGTTTGTTGTACCTTCCATTTTCCTTAGCTCTTCGAGACACTCGTAAACTGAAGGTCTATCGACTGGGTCCCTAGCAACCATACGACGTTGCAGTTCGTACTTGTATCCAACGGCCTTCGGGCACATGCGTTCTAATAGCTGGTCATTAGCTTTAAAACGAAGCTGAAATGTAATTATTATTAAAATACTTCAGTTTTAATCGACTTTTAAGAATGTAGCTAGAATAAACTACTCATACTTGAGTGGGTTTGGGGTAGATATCACCCGGGTAAATGTATCATATATGAGGAGCGGGCAGGATATATTAAATGTCCCGCTCCAGGCCAAATGCGGGCAGGTATAATATATCCATCCCGCTCTCGGGAATTTTTTAAAAGTTCAAAATGTTAGAATTTTCAAAGTCTTTCAAAAGTAGTTTAAATTTGACTGATGTTGAATATGAATTGTGCTTTTACAGTATAGGCCTATATTGTCATTTGAAAACATATGGAAGGGTTATATCTACCTCAAACCCACTCAAGTATTAGATACACCAGTTATGTACGGTCGGTTTTGGATATAAGGTGAGGGGCCGAAGACATAAATATTTCCGGAAACCTCCCAGTACATAACCATTATATATACATAATTAGAGACGTATCAATTAATGGTATTAAAATGATCAATCAATGGACTATACAATGAGTTTAAAACGGACACAGTGTTGTACCTTTAAGCATAACAATATATTAACTCACATCGCGTATCAATGCTTCTTTTTGTCTGTGTTTAGGCCATGGGTGTTCCCCTGATAGTATATAGTAGTACAGCAACCCCATATTGAACACATCAGCCTTTGTCGTCAGGTGGACAAGGCGCTCGCCCAAATATGCCGACAAGGTTTCTGGGGCCATGTACTTAAGAGTTGCGACCACATGCTGTCCCGTATGTTCCTGTCCAGCCCGGAGGAGAGAACCCATATCGCATAGCTTCACATCGCATATGTTTCCATCGATTTGAGCAACGGTGTTTTGAGGTTTCCCGTCCAGGTAAAGAAACCCATACTTATGTATGTGGCCAATTGCTTCTAGACACTGCCGCATTATGCTTGTATCATGTTTCGCTAGTTCATATTCACTGAACTTTTGGTTTTCTTTATGTTTTGCAAAAAGAGCCTCGCCTATTAAGAAATTCAATACATAAAAATACACGTGTATTTGATATCTTCATATTCCTAGAGTTGAGGTATGTTATGAGGTTATATAATGGTTGATTCCGTATATCGTGTTTATACTCAAGTGAGTATATGATATATTCACGAGTGACTGAAGGGAACGAGTGAATTTATGATATTATATATCATATACTCACGAGAGTATAACGATATACAGAATCAACCATTATATGATCTTATTATCCCACCCTAATCTTTAATCAATAAAAGATTAATCTAAATTCAGCAGTTGTATATCAAGTCGAAGAGTTGTATATGCTGCCCAGGAGTTGTATACGCTATCCAGGAGTTGTATATCGTTCTCAAGAGTTGTATACGATGAGTGTTGGTTTTATATTGCAGTTATACAATGCAGTTATACAATCATATAAAGCACTTAGGGTGGGATAAAGACATATATATGTTTTTCTGTCATCGTATACTGCCAACCTGCACTCTGCTCTTTTTCAAAAGAACCTGCATGTACTCACGGTGGTACTATTTAAGATGAAATCATAGATTAAAGAAGGGGAATAGCAACATGTGAATGTCGATTTGGCAATCAGAAAACGTGGGAGCAACATGAGAAAACACGATCATAAAACAAAATACTGTATAATGCTAGTGCATAATATATATAACAATTTTTCAATTTCATTAATCAGGCATGGGTTATAGATTAAAAGTGGTACTTTACACCCGACTTTACAAACCTCCATCCTCCATGAATAGATAGCACTCCCTGTCAAAAGGCAGTATGACGTATGCCAAGACACGAACGATGTTGGCATGAGGATGCAGAGCGGAGAATTCAAGTTCTAGTTGGTTTAGTGCCGATGTACTTTTCATCTGAAATACATGTAATTGTGTAATTCATACTTTATGGAATTTATATTTCAAAGACCACATGTGTATTCTGGATGTCCATTGGCTTATTGGTCACATAATATGAAACAGATAAACTAATTCCCTAGGAAGATGAAAAGTACTAATGACCAGTTATGTCGTGTGACAAGTCAATAAGGATAGTCATTTTAATTTTCCCTGCTAACAAGGATTTGAGGTACCAAGCAATATGAGGATTCATCCTAGAACTATTCCAAATGTCCAAATCATACGCCTTTGGTTTTACCCACCTTTTTTATAACAACTACTTGATTCACATAATTTCTTCTCAAGCAGGAGCCGAAAGAGCCCTCGGCAAGAAATTCATCTGTATACGTGTTTTGCAAACACGTGACATTCTTGTACAGTTTCTCGACTACGTCTGTCTGTAATATTCACAAAAATGCATAGTATGCAATTTACCTTAAGATTCCCGTTCTGAAAATAAAACACACCATTTCATCGATCCTATAACTTAAACATTTTCTTCACTTTATGTAAGTTACATGTAATCAAAGAGCATATTTCTTCTCTGAAAATATCAAAAATTGAAATGATCCTCATCTAATTAGCAGTAGACAATTTCCAGATTAAACTTTTCGTAATTTTGAAAGGCTATTAATTTCGATCTTTACCTAAACGATCTTTTCAAGCTTCAATAATGACAGAAAAGTAATTGATTGTGCATGTTACATATCATTATGAATTTAAAATATTTGAATGTTTTTTAGGATAACTGGGGCTTTATTTATTGAAACTTATTAAAATTATATGATCAATACTTTCAAGAAATTTTCGAACAAAATTACAACTTTAATCTTTATGAATGAAATGATTAGACGCTAATATACAATGTATATTAACACATTGTCCATAGTTATTAATATATGATATATCATACCAAGAATATTAAATATGTACAAATGAGTTGTACTACATACCTCGAAATCAGCTTCTTTATTTCCACATTCTGCTTCAGCTCGAATAAGGTTATCTTGTTGACATTTGTGACTTTCAGCTACATTCAAATTCTCCTCATCCATGTCATCCTGAGAGGTAAGATCATGATGATGATGTAAGAAATGAATTAAATAGAATAGCTACGATTTGTGCTCTGTGCTTATAAAATAATCTCTTGCTTATTTTTTTAACAATTTTTCTTAATTTTTAATGCATATGTTAGGATGTATGTCAAGTCAAGGCTTCATTTCAAATACGATTTCTGTATCGCCAAGTATCGTCGGAAATTAGGTCAATTTTGTCAAAATCTAGGTCAAATTTATGATTTGTCATTTATCTCTGTTATGATTACATGAAATTACTTTTCTCGATTCTTTTTTTTTTTCATCGCTACCTCAGAAAGAGAGTATTCGAGAGTGTGTTATCCATTTTTGATTACTCTTACGGATTTGGAGTTATAGCTTCCAAAATAGCTCAACAAGATGATCCATCGAGATTGGTATCAATTTGTATTGATTGGAAATGTGTTCAGGATTCCGTATTTCAGTGTCATTGAGATTCGACTTTCGATTGACCTTTCGACTTAAAAAGTCAATTTTTCAAATATTTATTTGACTTTAAATTAAAGAATAAGATGACCTTATAAAGTCAGTTAACTCGATATTTTGGGAGTCGAAGGTCATTGGTCAAAATCTAGGTCATTTCAAGTCGTGTGATAATTGATAATAATTGTAGAAGAATCTCAGCAACTAGAAGTCTCTGCATAAAGCTGGTCATATGGTTAGTTATTGAATGTATCAAGGATCATTGGATATTATATCAAGTTTTTATAGTAGTACGAGTTCAAAGGACAAAATCTTAGATTTTTCCATGGTCTGTAAGTCTGTAACCTGGAGTTTTGAATTGAACTTGCTCATAGATATTCTTTAATTACAGTTAATTTGGCAATGATTGATAATTTGTTAAAATGTGCATTTACGATTTGTCATTTCCACATAGTTCTCCAGCTTCAAGACGCCGGTTGGCTTGACGAGTGTGTCCAGGTCCAGGGGCAATGGTTTTCTTGACTGTCCAATCTTTGATGAGATTAATTATAACTTCTTATAACAGGAAACGTCATTAATGAATACGTTTGAATACGCTTGTTATTAGAACGATTCTATAGCTGCCTGGGAGACTGCGCTATTTCTCAATAAGGAACTACCAAAAGGTAATGTTAAAAACGTATTCATCATATAAAAGGGAATATTTAAGAATACAATCGGACATATTAAAACCACACCATCCCAAACAGTGATCTAACAGACAGGGTACAGTACATTAGATATCGATGATCTAGTATACTCAGTCACATGAGTAGGGGAACTAAATAAACAAGGAGAAATATAAAAATGCAATGTACCTACAATGCATATGATTTTACTCAATAAGATTTTAATTCCAAAAACTTTCTTATATGCATTTTACGTATCTTTTTGAATGTACACTTAATTTCCAGGAGCCATGGACATAGACATATCGTATAATGTTCATTGTACAAGTTAGGCACAATAACGTTATCCAACGTTGATCGTTGATTAAAATGTGCATTTACTTACCCCAACATCAGATTTTTCATTCCTACATCGTTCTCCAGCTTCTGTGTAGATGTCCTCTGGATTCAGAGGAAGAATTGTTTTTGCCTGTTCAATCAAAGATGTGATATTTTATCTACTTAGATTAGGAAGCGCTATCAATGATAACATACTATGAATATGCATGTTAAGTCGACATCACTTTTACTTCAATGACTCTATACGTCCTGTCTGAGAGACAACGATTATGCCTAATAAGTTACTTTCGTAAGGTAAAGATAAAAAAATGTGTAATACATATACAAAGGAATTTTGTACAACCGGTCAACAAATGCCTACACCCTAAATAATGATTCTAACTACCCAACAATTTAGGAACCAAAATCCAAACTCAAAACCACAAGACAATTGGATATTTCACTTATACTGAAGTAGTAACAATACATGTTGAAGAACATTTACAAAAGAAAAGAAGGCTGGACAAATGCAAAAATTCATCAACACCAAAAATAGTCACATTTGCTATAAACAGGGTGTCCTGAAAGTATCCCCCCCCCCCTAGACAGACATATACTAGTGTCGTCATAGTAGCTTATCCAAAGCTACATTGATTCGCCAAGTATCATGGTTTAACTCTCAAATGTGAACAAATTACAGGCATTTCAAAATTTAGTGTTTCGTCAAAATTGAGTTCAATTTTACACCAAATCACTAGTTAATGTGTCCTCCTGGGCCATCTTAACAGCAGCAATTCTTTTCAGGTCGGATGGATATTGAGTTGGAAAAAGAGAACGGTGAGGGTAGATACTCCGTGGAAACTCTTCTAAAAGTGCCTTGACAGGCTTTAAGAGGACTATAAAATTCCACACCCCTATTTGAAGGCCTTTTAAGGTCATATATGAAAATAATTGCTGCTGTTAACATGGCCATTGGGGGACACATTGATTAGTAATGTGGTGTAAAAATGAACTTTATTTTGACAAAACACTAAATTTTAAAATGACTGTAACTTTTTCCCATTTGAGAGTTAAACCATGGTACTTGGCAAATCAATGTAACTTTGGATAAGCTTTAAAATGATATATGACACATACTATGACGACACTGGTATATGTCTGTCTTGGGGGGGGCATACTTTCGGGACACCCGAAATGATGTAGGACAGACGTGGAGAAAAATATAAAAATTGTCAATTTCATGAAAACTAAATTTCATATCTACATATTATAAAATTGTCATATTAAAGCCTATATCAGTGAGGTATTTCTCACTTTCCGAATCGTTAAATTTGGAACAAGTTTCTTCAATTCTCCAAGTCTATAGTTCAATCCTCCATCTTATATATAGAAAGAATCTTGAACTAAAAAATACGCAAAACAAAGACAAAAATATTTAACCTTGGTGAAGAACATGGCGACATTCTCAGTAAAGTCTTTCTTGAAAACATCTTTCAGATTTTCTGTTGGTCCGAGAATCCTACAATTCATTGATGATGAAAAAATTAATAATAATTATATTTTAACTTCCATTTACTAACACAGAGCTACACATGTTCATATTATAGTAAACGGAATATAATTCTATAAGTATTTCTATTGCACAATGAATTCATCCTCTTCAATTCTTGAATTCACTAAATCTTTCATAAAGAAATTTTTCCTTATGCCAAATAAGGTGCTTTGTGGGTCGAACGATTGTATCTGTGCATTATGTTAATGTTTGACTGACACATCAGTTTAGGGTTAACCTCAGTGAAACAAGTTTATATCTTAGTTCAACTTACAGGCAGCTTGCAATAGCACTAGTAGCTCACAATAGAACGTTCTGATAATATAATAATATTGCATATCATTTATGAACAATTAATATATTTATATCCTTATGGACACTTAATACATTGATATACTTATGGACATTATGTGATGAGTGAATTGCGCCTAACACAAAACCTCAACCCTATTTCGGATCAATCAATTCACCAGGAAACCTTCTAACTAAACGTTGTGATCTATTACCTCTTTCAAAGACTGCCTGGCTGGTCCCATAGAACAGGCAGCAGGCATATCAGATCAGAAGGCTTTGAAAGAGGCAATCCATCTACATAAAAAAGTTCAAGAAGACAGTTATTCCAAAATATGAGGGTTGCATCTCCTGTGTCACCCTGTAATTGGCACAAACGAAGTTGAAGATTTAAACTTACTTGACTTTCTTAACTATTCTGTCTGTCAAGGCAAGAAATGGGGTTGAATCATCTCGAACTTGATGGTTGATTTCCCGAGTTTCCACCTAATTCAAAATGACGATACTAGTGTTGTTTGCAACATTATTGTATAGGACTGTGTCGAAGGTACTATATCTAGTAGTTACAATCAGATTCTCATTAGTTACATTCATAATATAACTTTTAATACTGTACATTGAACAAATACAGGTTTGTACCAAGTATAAAAAGTGTAAAGGTACTTTTAATAGTTTTATGAATTAAATGAATATATAACAATATCATACATAAGTAACATACCTTACAGTCATCCTCTATATTTGTTTCCACTTGTAACTGTGGAATTTGGGGGTAGAGTTTCTGATAAGCTACGTCCAAGTTTCCTTTTTCAAGAACTGTATCTTTTTCACTCAAACAGCTGCTTGGTTCAGTATCTTGACTATGATGCTTCATGGTTTCATCTTTCTCGTCCATCTACAATATTGTAGTATGCTTTTAATCCAGGTGGCTTGATCAAGTATCATGATTTGAAAAACTACACACAAATCCCTGCTATCCCTAACAGTGTAGTATGTCATCTTACTTCCGTATACCATGCAGTAAATGTGTCGTGAAGTAGTTCAAGATATGTTACACCAAGTTCAATGTGTTTGCTATTTATTTTGCCGAATTATATCAGTTAATTGATAAAAAAGCATGATTCATGGTTGACATTGACCCGCATTGATCAAAACGAAAGTTAAAAAACCCAAGGGTTGAATATTGGTTTGTTGTGGCACAGGTCTTTCAAAAATGTTGAATAAATATTGATGAAAACACACGTTGGTCTTAATTGTTTAAAAAAAATGTAAAAAACGTTGTCTACTAATAGTGAAATATAATTAGATCAAGTGATATTTAGTCAAGGTTGACATACAATTGCAATGTTACAATTATAGGTAGAATGCTCTAGTATTATAATTCTGAAGACAAGTACGTACGAGCATAACAAGTAAGATTATAGGGGATTGACTTGAGTAAATGATCTGCAGATACAGTGAAAAAATATTTCAAATGGTAAAGGGGGTATACGTAACGTTTGGATGCGCACGGTCCTTGCCTAGAGGACCTAATAGACTACGATACCAGTTCTTCTTCTCAAAAGTGTTACACGATCGAACAGTATTGGATACAAATCTAATTGCTCCCCTATAGGCCAAACTACACACAGGCAATGAATTTTTATCCTTAACAATCATATTAGTCTCTTATCGAGCTGCTAGTATAGCTCCCAGGCGTATCTCATGGGGTTCAAACCCCGGTTCAAACCAATGCCTTTATCGTCATCCATTTACATAAGTATAACTTATATTCTATTTGAGGCCTTCGCAAGACTTTAAATTGGGTTCGTTTGATCATTTTACTATCAAGATTAAGAATATGATGAAATGCGCAATACCTCGGTCAGCCATCTTGAAATATGAAAAGTTTAATATTGCTTTAACTGATAATCCATTGTGATTACTAAATCCCGGGTACTTAATATCATTTTAATAAGCTACTGCAGTCCGAACACTGTTTATTCTGAAAGTTTCTAGTGCAGATCCTCAAAATAAATCATTGAAATGTGATGTTTTGTTCTGTGATTACGAACACAGAACTTCACCTACCTCTGGTCCTTCGTCGATAAAGTCACGTGACATAAAAATCTAAACACGCCTAACCATCGACAACGTACAGTGACAAAATATATCGTCGTACACTTTCGATGTACGGTGTCACTATTCTAACTGATTTGAAGCAAAAACTATGCTGTAGGTGTGATGTCGGTATTAAAAATTAATCTGAGGAAAACATAAAGAATTTCATGTTTCATTTCGTGTGTATTCGATTTAACTTTCTGATTACGTTAAATAATTTTCGAGCAGTGCTCGATTTTTTTCGTAGTAAATCTATCCACCAACAATGATCGTTTGGAAAATGTTGGTTTTATCACATTTCCTTTGATCATTTTTCCCCTGTCGTCTAAGAGCGTCGATTATTTTTATGAGAATATGTTTCACAATTAACACAAGTTACACAATTAACAAGTGTACGTTGTCATCTCGATGTACGTTGTCCCATTGAACTCACATATCTGGATTTACAGTTAACCCTAATGTAGACAACGTATCATTAATAACACTAATGGTCAGGGGGATCAGATTCATTTTAAACTGAAACTTAACAATCACAGTATGACTTCAACTTGATTGAACTATTGAACCTCTGCACTTTCCAGATATAACGTGAACATAAATGTGATTTTAAAAAGTCATCTTCGACTAACTAGCATAGATCTCTCTATCAACTCTCTATTAAAACTTTATAAAAGTACAGACGCCAAATGATCAAGAGGTTGGAGGCTAACACCCCATGATCACATCACATTAAACACCGACACATTTATAAAATAAAATAACTTTCAACAAGATTTAAAAATCAAAGGACCGCGAGTTGTTTGTAGAATGAATCGTAGTTTCGCTCGTGTTTTTCATCTAAAAAACATCAATACACTTTAAAACATTTAATTGACGATACGATTGCACCATGTAAATTCAAAGATTTCTCATTTTCGAAGATTATCTCTGGATTAACACCCAGGTATTGTTATTTTTCAAACTTTAGAGGGCTCAAATTGTGTAAATGGAACCCCTTCCTTAATCCATAGAATTTTCTCTTTGATGATTTCCCATAGTAATCCAATGGTATAGTTTCAAGCAGATTTTGAGATAACAGGAAAGTTAATCATTAATACACAACTTATTGGGTTGTTTTGGTTTATATCACCAGCATTCACCAATCGATCAAGTTTTGTGGGTAGATAAACTACGAAAAAATCGAGCATTGTTCGAAATCTCTTAACGTAATCCAAAAGCTTCCAAAGCGAAAACACACTAAATTAAACATGAAATCTTTGAAGTATTCCCAAGATTCATTTTTAAAGCCTACATCACACCTGCATCATAGTACATCACCGTACATCTAAAGTGTACGACGGTATATTTTGTCACTGTACTTTGTCGATGGTGAGGCGTGATAAATGAGGAAGTAAACTATAGTCTAGACAAAACATTCCCGCGAAAATTCATTCTGTTGTAATGTCATATTAATCCAAAGCATGCAGACTATGGAGGCCTAAAACATTGTTATATTTTTTAAAATGTCAGTATCTTCAGAAAGGGAAACGGCGTTGAAAAAGCGAATTAAAGTTTGAAATAACATATCCCATGTCAAACTCCCATAGAGAAAATTCATGCTTGCTATTGTTTTCAGCAAAATAGCAAAATGGTCACCGAAATGTGATATCTTCCGAATTAAACTTTCAAAGCCACTTGGTATTCTAAAAAGTTATTTTCATGTTGTATCATCTATTTATGCATTGAAAAATAAGAAATAAGGTCCTTAATATGACGTCTTGAAATGTATGTTGCAGACGAGAAGGCCCCCAACTTTTCGTAGAGTCGGATTTTTATGATTAGCCCGGGGACTTTACTTGGAGGAAAGCTTATTCTTTTTGATGAATATATTTTTATTGTGACAAAATACTCGTAGTCAAAGATTGCTTAACTTATTCTCTTTTCCGTACCTGGCCCTTTCAGATAATGAACGTTTAGGTCCATTGTCAAACTGAGAAACTTATGTGGCCCGGGTAATTTGCCTTCATATTTTACAAAAACTGACCTTTTTGATCCCAGTATTTCATTTTATCATGATTTGAATTCTACGCCAGCCAAATTGTTTACTATGCAACAACCTCTATGAAACTATAAATAAAACAGTTGGCAGTTTATAAAACCCTTCGTGACATTTCAAGAGCAAGGTTGATATGATGAAATTGTACGAGGAAGTAAATACAATCAAAATAAAAACGTATGTTATTGTGTTATGTGCAATCGTAACAAATCAAAAGAGTAGTCGTAGTGAACCATGTTGAAGTCTAGCTTTGTTATCATCGTTTTGGTCATCGGTGTTCCCTTGACTGGGTTCTTGTCACGCAAGGTGGTTGTTACTGCAATGTCCACGCAATATGAAGATCGTCGTAGACCATTGGAAAACATTGCTGAAAAGGAGAACTATGAACCTGAAACACATACATCTGGAGAAAATGTGATCCAGGATGCACAACACCAAAATAAACTTGAAAGGGAAAACAATGGAATTAACGACCGTGAATTTTTACCAGACACCCACATGCAAGATGATATCAATTATTCCAGCAATGATATGTCGCATCAAAATACACAAGGAAATGATGGCATCGAAGCACCATTTCTTGCTCTTGCCGATACAAACCATAAGACACCCACCGATGACAAGTTTACATGCAAGTTTATTATAACACCGGAGTCACAGGATCGATTTATGGAACTTACCGATTGCGATAAAGGAAAGAAAAACTTTATTTATGTTCATCTGAACTTCTCGACGCAGCCAGAATTACCAAAAGGACCAGCATTGGAGAAGGTGTTTTTCCCATGGTATCTAACATGGACATTTAAAGGCGAACCAGGGGCGGGGTATCCCCTGCTCGGCTATCCATTTAACTATGACATCCTATCGATGGGATTTCTATACTGGCATGTGAAGGAAAATTTCACAATAAGTATGTAAACGTTTACAGTAAGCTTAAATATTGATACTGATATTTTTTAGGTTTACACTAGAATAAGAAAAGATTGGGTGCTTTGAGTGTATGCATTCATATCCCCGCTTAATAAACTTCTTTAACCATGTGAGTGAGAAAGGACTGTCATTTCTAAATTCGAAATATTTCATAAACTTTGAGCTACAACAACGAGCAAAGTTATCTCGTTCCTAGAAACGAAGAGGATGGGCTTGGAATAAGAGCAAAGTCGTTGTCAAACTCATTGCAATATAATGCGAACAATTGTCCAGAAAGATCTAATCTCTCGACCGGCTGCTTTTTCTTTATATTTGACCTTTCAACGGGATCTTCAGATTTTAGAAATATCATCAAAATATAAAAATCCAACCATGATTTGCCCGTCATGAAAATATCAAAGTGAATTGTAAATATAAGGCCTATAAATAATCAAGGCGCAATAAGGAAGTAAATTAAAAAATATAACGCATTAATTCTCATTGGTTAATTGTACTGTATTACTAGATTAGTATATGTATTTTTTGCTTTTAGATATTAACGTGATGCCTCCCGGTTGTAAGTCAACATGGGGCGAAAGGAACATGATGACATCCCTTCTTCAATCTGTCAGGAAACTGAGTGGTAAAATAAAATACAACGACACGACCGTTTGGTGTTACTCGGTAAAATACGAAATTCATCATTTCAGAAAGTGGTTGAACCATGTCACTGGGGTGAATCGTGATGCCAACGGCTTCCAATGCAGTGAACCTGAAGACCCTCATAGATTCAGTGTTAATCGCGAACAGACTCGACTGTTGGTGATACTGCAAGTTATTGGCTGTGTATTGTTCACTTATATGCCGTTACTACTTTACGTTTTTGACGAGGGTACACCAGGAAGGATGGTTCCGAAAAAAGAGATCCCAATGGGGTATGAACAATTAGAAGGAACCGTGGACGGAGGACACGTTGATTATGCCGGGGACGATAGTGACGATGAGGATGGCGAAATATTACATCTCGGAACAGAGGCCCCAATAACATTCCTCGGTTTGTTGAAAACTGCATGCCTCTCAAGAACATGCTCGCAATCTGTAATACTACTAAGAATTAAGAAATGCTTAGCTATTCTCGTAATCGCCCCATCTATCATAGCACTTGAGATTATCTTTACATTTATATACAAAAAGAAAGCACTCTATGTAAGAATTTTATCAGATGTACCGATAGGGTTTTTCGCAATTCCATTTGGGTATGAACTCAGCAGTCGAAATTGGTTATATTTTTTGGGTGGGCCATACGTCATATATAGTCTATACTTCCTCTTTGCTGTGGTACTCTCGTGTCTTCCTGTCAATTTGTGTGAGGTATTGGCTACTGATATAGATAAGGATCGCCAATCAGGCTGCATGTTATTCATAACCTCTGACATCATAGAGGATTTAGGTGGAGTGAAATATACCCAGCTATCAGTATCATATAGAAAGTTGTCTAAAGCTTTCACTGCCCGTCTTTACACTCTTTTACACCATAAATTCTGGGTAATGTTTAAAAATGTTTGGGTTGGACGAATTAAAGCGGTAAGTAAAAGGTTACCATTTCAAGGTTTGTTGAAACTATGCGTTTGTTTGACAATCTGTTTGCCAATGTGGTTGGTTCTGTTCCTACTTTTCCTACTGGACATCATAAGCTGCATAGTGTACTTTGGTGTTCCAATTGTTTTCTTCACCAAAATTGTGGCACAGAATTACATGCGGTACGTCCTTGACAGGTTTCTATATGACAACACGAGAGGCCATTATTCAGGCGAAGATATTAGCAAAAGGATAGCAGGTTGGATTATACGTATCACTTTAGTTGTGATATTAACGTATGTGTTTTTCTGTGCTTATACCATGTACACTGTCACCGTCACAGCGATTCTTCATATGTCTGTGTTCACTATCGTTGGCATTGTTGCCTTCCCCAGTGAGGCCATTGTCTCCGTTCTTGGGACAGGCATTGTTTTCATGTACATTTACAAAACGTTGAGGGGTTTCAATGATGGATACAATGATCTACTGCTGTACACAATCACTCTTTCGGAAGAATTAAACACGGAGCAGATATTGAAAAATTCAGCTACTGGGGAAACTGTAAAATATATAACTAAACGATCTGTAACAGGTATCCCCGGGGTACCAGCACATGTTTATTACAGCCTGGTTGAGTCTTTCAGGCCATTGAGGGTGCAAGTGTTTCTAACGTTCATCTATCTGGGCCTCATTGCAGCGTTCATGTACGTATGCATATACGTCATACATTCATACAATAGAGAGGCTGAACTCTCAGTTCTTGTTAAGACTGTCGCAACTGTGATTGCCGGGATTCTACCACATCTGGTCCAATTATGCTGGGGATCAGTGAACCAGGATGCAAAAAACTTGAGGTACAAACTTCAAATCAAGGCAAGCATAAGGGCACACTGGGAGCGCCATAACCTATATATTCAAGAAACTTAAAACGCGAGTATACTATATTAGTAAAGACTTCAGTATCGGCGAAATATGTCGATAGTTTTGTCGTGTATAGTCTAGCTACAAGTCTCTGTGACCCCCCCCCCAGTGTTGTTATGGGGGTCACAATGGTTTGTAGTTAGACTACGTTATGTATTGTGATATTGGTTTTTGTACTGTGGATGAGGGAGGCGTTTGACAGTTTTTATGAGATACTACTTAACCTTTATTTGGGATACTGGGGATTTGTTTTCTTTAATTATTCTACTTATTTCTACCTGTGTTTGATATCATCTTTGGTATTTACCCGTTTTACACTTGTGCTTGCATATTTACCTGTGTATGTAACATTTTGTGAAAAACAAATGGAAAATAATGAATCATGTACATACTGAGATCTATTTAAATGACCATTGACAAGTCAAGATGGCCAGTTCCATTTATATTCCTTTTTAAAATGCTTGGATGTGTAACACATATCATTTTTTTTCATATCATTCTTGTATATAAGAACATTTGCAATTTTGCATACTTTTTATTTTTCATTTAATTTTTCAAAAGATTGTAAAATATTGCAAAATAATAAAAAGCACATTTTGTGAAATATAATGTTTATTTCAATAAATATGCTTTGCAGGAGGTACTAGTTAGTAAGTTATTTGGTAATTATAGTTTCTTCTGTGGAATCAACATTAAATCAATGTCATTTCAAATGTCCGAGATATCGAGATTGAGATTATTGAGGCCCATTTTCTTGAAACAGATTATCATAACCAGATAACATATAAGAAAAAACAAAATCTTTTCGAAGAATTTACACACAATCCAAAATATGTATGGTGTACTTGAACTGATGGATGACATGGGCAACATACCAACTACACTATAAGAGGGGAAATCCCAAAGTATGCAACCTTTGCTTTATATTCATTTGAGCAATCCTGAAATCCCAGAATGTGAAAAATATTTAAACTATTGATAATACCTCTAAATATGACTTCAAACCTAGATGACCTAAAGATGTTTTATCATAGGGAAAAGTAGTATTAAGTTTACTACTGCTTTTCCCTAGGCCTATGGTTCTTATCATCTGAGAGTTCCAGCATGATGTGATTACTTGCACTGATATTTGGCCCTTTGGATGACCTTGATCTTGAAACATGACCTTGACCTACTATGATATCATTACCTCCAAAAAGAATACATAATATAGTAAGTTGTGAAGGATCTTTTACTCAGAAAATTGTCATATTGGCTTTCAGTACAACTATTCCTACAACTATATTTCGACTAATGAATTGCAAATATATGAAATTTTGATACTTCAAACAAATTCGGAGAACTCATTTGTTGGCCTACACTTTTGGCACTGATATCTCAAAATCGGTTCAAGATATCAAAATACTATTTCATATTGCGTTTTTTACATTTTCATCATGAAGAACACAATGACAAAAAGATGAAGTGAAAAGATTAGACGATGACCAAGAAAAGTGAAAAAAGATCGGAGAATATACAAGATTTGCCCAAGTTCTTGACATTTGACCGAGAAAAGAAGTTGACCTAATTTCCCATCATCCCAGACACATACACATGGAGATATGCCGTTTACTCAATAAGTACAAAATTAATACTAAATTAGCAGTCTGGCAAAAAAGCGCTCATGAGCACTCATACCAATTAAGTACTAATATTGTACTAACTGAGTAATCGCCATATGTATGAGTGTTGAATGAGTAATGAAAAATCAATGAAATTAGCACTATTTTATCACTCATCATATGAGTACAGTAGAACCTGTATATCTGAACACCTTGCTAATCCGAACACCTCCCAATCTGAACACTTTTTTTCGGTCCCATTTTTTCCTCCCATTGACTCCCATGTTAAAAAAAACCTTGAAATGTGAACACCTCCCAATTTGAACAGTGAACAGTCATATTTGAAAAATCCACCTGTCTAATCTGAACACTTTTCATAAAATTTCTGATGTTTCATACAAAATTGTTCAATTTTTGTTATGATATCAAAACTTTGGGTAATAATCTTGAATGATCTCATTCATAATGGTGCTTTCCAGCATGACTTGATTCATTTGAATCAAGTTTTCAAATTTCTGGAACACCATAAGCTATGTGGTCTAACGAACTATAAATATTTACCGAGAATGTGTTCACATTTCTTCAGAATCTGGAATATTACGAATGCAAAAACCTTGAAATGTGAACACCTCCTAATCTGAACGCTTTTATCCGGTCCCAATGGCGTTCGGATTAGACAGGTTTTACTGTACTCATTTAGTACTAAAAATGCGATAAATCAGTACTCGTGTCATACGTGCTCATTTAGTACTAATATTTACTGAAATGAGTACTCAATTAGTGCTAAAATTCCATGAGTACTAATTTATTAATTGTCATATCTCCCTGTGAATTTATTTGTTAACCATGTAAGCAGGCTTAAATATAAAAGAAAAACAACTTAAGCAGATTTTCAATCTGGAGTCTATTTCATGCAATATAATACAATGTGATATAGTACAAAATAATATAATATAATTAACATATATGCAGGGCTTCATTACAATATATTGATTTTGATACTAATTTTGATATTACATTTGTAAGTGATAATTAAATTTTCTTTCATGTTTTGTTTTTTGATTTGTAAGATTTAATGGATCCAATTCACCTATGATACGTTGATACATTTTATCTATTTCATCATTATAAAATGTAAATGATGAAGAAAATGTTCAGACTGATTTTAGCATAATTTTAGTCACAACTAAATGTTCTATCATTTTCCTCGAGGTACGCTCATGGCATCATCAATCGTAACTTAAAGAGTCTTCAGTGGAATTCCTCTGACTTCACTAGTCACCCATCATCGACTCTGTTCCTCTACCACTAGTTGCTGGTGGTGGGACCAATGTATTGTCATTCTGGAAAAACAAGCGATTTATAAGTCTAATGAATTAATGCTTTATTAGTTTAAAAATCAGTATAGCATATTCTGAACAGGACATTATAACTCGATATTTGTGTTTACTAGAATAGTAAAAAGGAATAAATGACTGAGGTAAGGCATTTAGAAATATGTACCAAGCAGCTTCTTTTAAATCTGAATTCAAAAGACAAATCTCGGTTTGGAAAAAAGTCTAATAGGTAATAATCTTTTTTTATGAAATATATAGAAATAACACCCAAATTAAATCTACAATATGTAAAAATATCAAAATTGTCCAAGGCAGGCGTAACGTGCAGTAAACTGTTGAACCTCGTTCTCCAAACCGAGACTAGTCCTTTCAGAGCACTTTGAAATCTGTTATATCAGTGGTTAATTTACAAACATTTCATAATTATTAGAATTGTAAATATAAAGTTTCCCTTATCCCAAATAAGGTACTTCACCGAGGCTATTAAAGATGCAGCCATGTTCAAATTTAATAAAATTTGAAAGGTGAACGTCCACATTTCAGACAGAATGATTGCCTATTTACTATACAAATTGAATTATTTGATGAAATAAGGAAGTAACATTGAGTAATTTGTTAAACATATTATAAAACTCTTTAAGAAACTCTATCATTTCTCTTAAATAAATACCAAAGTATTTGGATGATTTTTGAATCACTACTTTTTGACATTAACTTTTTATCACTTCTAGGTTATATGCACTGCTATCAATTGTACATTGCTTTCAATAACTCAATTTGCAATACACTACATATCTGTCAAGATATACATGTATACAAATATAATGTTTTACCTGTTGTTCATCAGATGCAGTTATTGGATTATCCAGCACAATGGGGAGTACCTAAATAGTAAATATAGATGAAATGTAGAAATATTTATTGTATTGTATTGTATTTCACTTTGCAACATAAACGACACATTAAATGAAGTTGGACGAATGATAGTGTTATCCACACTGTAGCGTAAAATTATAAAATACTGTACAGTGCTTGAAGAAAATTGATTAGATGAGTGCAAGAAGTGCGTCTCGGGACACCTGAATATTATGGGTCAGTTTTAGGCCATGTTTATTGATTTATGATGATTTTGTGGTCATCTTCAATAGAGAATGTCATTTCAATACACAATCATAACTGTATAGATCATCAATTATAATTTTACAAAATTATATTGAAGCTGTAATATACAATCATCTCAAGCTTCTTATCATATATTTTAAGGTTCATCTCTTTATCAACATATAGATAGCACAATTCAGTCAATTAAATAAATATGGTCTCCATGTTACACAGATGTGCTATACTAATCGAGGGTATCTACAGGGTGTCCGGAAAGTAAAGATACAAATACTCTTATTTTAAGAGATTAAGTTTTTTTGTAATGAAATCGCTACAGATTGTAGAGGCACTACATTACAATACATCTACCAACTTTTATAACATATAGTCTAAATGTGTTAAAGTTACGGTTGTTATGGTTACGGTGGTGAGGGGTATGCGGAGCAGTTCCAGGATATCGCTAAATTGTTATAAATTGCTAAAATATAACCATTTGAAATAGTGTTTATTATTGTATTTCTTATCAGTTTTTTTGTCCGATATTGTATTCTTGCTGCCATAGTATTTTCTTTAGTATAATGGTATCATTGATACATATCAGAACTATGTAATGTCACAAGTATAATGAAAGAAAAAGAGTGTATAAGTGCTTAGAAAAAGTGTCCCTGGATTAATGGGAAAGCCAATAGTGCACCTCCACAGTCAATATTCCAATGCACAAACCAAAGAAACAAATCTTACAACTGAATGTCTTGGCATTAACCTTTTTGTACAATGGCCCATATTTCCCTGATAATGTCCCATTGGACTTCTACATTAATGAATATGTTAAAGCAATATTTGTGAAAATGTCAACATAAAAATCAGAGTCGGCTTGAAACCAATGTTATCAGCAATCTTAGAGACTGACAACAAAGGTTTTGTCAGGTCTTTGAATCTTCGGTCAAAATGCACCAAGAATCTTTAAATAAAGGTGGAAAATACATTATACTGGATAACAGTAGTAATGTTAAATGATTAAATAATGTTACAGTACTAATCCTTTTGCTGTTGTGGTACATAATTTGATGCATAATAGCAACAGGCGACGGAGTGTCAAAATTATATGAACAGGAGAAAATAATTTTAAAACATAATTGTGACGCTGCTCCACATACCTGTGACTCCTGTTACCATAACAACCATAACTTTTTTATTTTGAAACAATTTGTCATGACAGTTGCAGGATAAATTGTTACAATGACATTCTACAATCTGTAGCAATTTCATCTCACAACAGGTAAATCTAATGAAATAAGAGCATGTGTATCTTTACTTTCCGGACACCCTGTATATAAAGGAAAATAATGAAATCAATCAGAACCTGGGTTTTAAATAATTTATTTTTCAAAGGCTTGTACTTTGGAGTTGTGGTAACTTTGTTATCAATGCCAACCTCAAAAAGCGACCCCATGTCACATAACTTCGCATTGCAGGTTCCATCTGCACGTATGTTGATCAGGGTGTTTGCGGGTTTGGCATCAAGGTAGAGATACCCATTGTGATGCAGGTGACCAACAGCTTCAAGACAGCACCGCATGATGTTCAGGAATTGCCCTGCCAAATATTGCTTTGTCTGGGCATTGAAACTAGACAGAGCATCACCTAACAAGAAAATTCATTTCTAGAGGTTAGTCAAATCAAGCACTTGACATAAAGAAACCATTTGAAAAATTACTTTCAGAAATTACTTTTATTTTAGGCTAATGTTCTTTCATAATCATGGCAATAACATAACATAATGTATTCATCGCGATATTTGTTAAATTCATTGTCTAACATTGTTGCAAGGTAATTTATTGATGAAAATTAACATAAACCTCCATTTTCCATGAAGAGGTAAATTTCCTCATCATCGGGCAGTATTATATATCCCAATACAGGAACTATGTTACGATGCGGATTTACAGCAGCAAACTCCAACTCTTTCCTATTGATGGAGTCCAGTTTTCCAACCATCTAAAATATGTACATTCATTATAGTATTGCGATAGGTATCAATAGAACATTTTTAACAAGTTGCTGTTTTGTTAACTACAAGTTGAGTTCGGGAAAACGTTCTATCATTAGCCATCGCAGGGGCGTAGCCGGGACCTAAAGTTTGGCGATTCAAAAGTGAAATAGTACTATTAGACAAGAGTACATTTTCACAATTTTGATTGCAAAAAACATCTGAATTGATGTTTTTTCATTTTTGTCATTTTTTGTAAGCCGGTTACTTCGCCTGCCGTATGCCTGGCTACACCCATACATCGACTAAAAATGAACGATGATAAGCATGTTAAAATAGATGGGTAATTCCCATTCATTTGAAAAAGTTAGCAGATTATCATTCTTGCAAATTGGGTAGTACAAAATGAAAAAATAGGACCCACGGTCCTGTGCTCACACAGTTTGGACCTTCAAAGGAATGTATCTGACTTTCAAACAAAAATATTGATTTGGATTTGTAGTGTCGAACTTTGAGAAACTTAGACAACACAGTTGTGTGACCTAGTTTGATGACCTTTGACCTTGAAAATTTTACTTATTTAGGGCTCAGTAAGGTCTTATGTGATTAAGCTGACAAAAATTTACATCCAAAAATCAATATGAAAAATCAACTTTTTTGACCTTTCAAAGGTCACTGAAGGTCAAGTAAAGGTCAAATCCTCAAACTTATGTCAGATTTGAAGTCCTAATTTTTGTCAAATTTTATAGAGTAAACACCAAAAACTGTAATTCCAAGAGCTTTGAAATCTTCAGAGGACATAAGTTGCATATACAGCAACTACTACAAGTTATTTTAAAGTTCTACTTCAACAAAGTGTCTAGTATTTACAGAAAATTTGTTTTTTTTGATGTCAAAATCCGCAATTTCTCGGAAACCGGGCGAACTTGGGAAATGGCGATGATAGGTCGAATAGGCATTATGGATATGCATAAAATGACTGTGGATATGACTCAATCCGAATAGCAGTTTTAATTTGTGCGGCCAATGTTGACGGACAGACGGACCAACGGACGGACGCCTGATCGATCCCATAGGCTCACTGTGTGAACCAAAAATCAAGCGAATGACAGAGTTCATATTCAAAATATATTTATTGCTTCTTGTACATGCTGTATTAGCAGATATGCTAATCACAGAACCAAAGGCATCTTTGTCATATTAATTTATTCCTACCTTTTTAATCACAACAGTTCTCCCAGTCTTTGTGTAGGTTCTTTGGCGACAAGAACCGAACGATCCCTTGGCAATATATGTGTCTCCATATTCATGTTCAAATTTCACATCATGGTAAAGATCCTGTAAAATAATGTACAGGTTGTTCAATAAGCAAGCTCATTTTTCTCTAAAATTTTGATATTTCCATTCTGAAAATTTGGATAAGTTATATGCAGATATTTGGCACTATAGCGGTTTTCATAGTGACGTGAAGTCGGGTTCAGCCATGGGCTTTCAAGGCAGTTACTCTTTTTACAGGAAATCTGACCTTATTTTCTTATTATTCTGAGCTTATTTTTTCCAAACATTTCTATCAATCAATACCTTATCATGATTTTCTATTTATCTTTGTGAAGCAGTTACAAACACACCAACAAAAGGCAAAAACCTCAGCAAAACTGCAAATATAGGACCAGAACTATGGGATAGGATATCAAAAAGAGCGACCATTTTCTTTGTGATTTTACGATTTGCTCTGCTGAACCCTACATGAAGTTACTATGACAACTGCTGCCAAATTTTAACATATTGTCGCGTTCCAGACTTTTGCCGATAGTCTGGAAGCGATGAGTAATTTTCTACCTTATACTTCTTTGTGGGCCCAGTCCTGGTTTGGTGGACTGGATGAAACGACAGTCACAAATGGCTTCAAATTTAATACATATATTTTAACACACACTAATTATACAAGAAAATAACACAGTTCAATGTTCATAGCTTAAAATGTCACTTTAAAATTCTCTTTATAAGCTTGGTAGTGGCCGTTACTGCTTTCTTACTGCTTCCTATGGCTCTTAAGCTCTTTACTCGGCTCCTCTGCCTCTTTATGGCTCCTATGGCCCGTAATTTTGGCTCAGCTCCTATGGCTCTTAAGCTCTTTACTCGGCTCCTCTGCCTCTTTATGGCTCCTATGGCCCGTAATTTTGGCTAAGCTCCTATGGCTCGTTAGCTCTTTCCTGACTCCTCTGGTTCTTGGACTTGGCTCTTCTGGCTCTTTGTTCAGCTCCTCTGGCTCCTGAGCTTGGTTCCTCTGGCTCTTGAACTTGGCTCCTCTGGCTCTTCGTTCAGCTCCTCTGGCTCTTGAGCTTGGCTCCTCTGGCTCTTCGTTCAGCTCTCTGGCTCTTTAGCCTGGCTCCTCTTGAGCTTGGCTCTTCTGGCTCTTAAGCTTGGCTCTTCTGGCTCCTGAACTTGGCTCCTCTGGCTCCTCCTTCAGCTCTCTTTGGCTCTTTAGCCTGGCTCCTCTTGAGTTTGGCTCTTCTGGCTCCTGAACTTAGCTCCTCTGGCTCTTCGTTCAGCTCCTCTTGCTCTTCGCTCAGCTCTTTGGCTCTTTAGCCTGGCTCCTCTTGGGCTTGCTGGGAAGGCTCCTAGCTGCTCGTTGCTCTAGAAGTCCTCCTGGAACTATCTCTGTCAGTGGTGAAACCAACTGACAAAATAGTCCACTGTGACTCTTCTGGCTCTTTAGCCTTGCTCTGCCTCTATGGCTCTTGACTTTTCCAGGGAGGCTCCTCACTGCTCGATGCGATGGAAGTCTTCCTGGAACTACTTCTGTCAGCGGTGAAACCAACTGACAAAATACTTCTCTGTGTTGGGAAGTTTCTCAATTGCACCTTACAGCTAGTGGTGGAACCGAACTAACTGTAATGCAAGGTTGATTCCAGAATGTTCCTTGCTGCTTCCTCAAGGACAACACTGAGCTCTGAATCTCTTTACAGCACTCTTAAGAATGGAAGTATGAAGCTATTCTTGCTTTCAATTAAATCTAACAAATATCTCACTAACTTAGAAAGCCTGGGACACAAAATGGCGACACACAGTAGATCTGGATACCCAATGAACTAGAAATTACGATCAGTCAGAGGCATCTCAGTAGCATGCTGATCATAAAGTCACAAATTCTGGTACACTTGAAATTCAAAGTTATAGTCAGTCAGAGGCATCTAGTAGCATGCTGGCCATAAAATCACATAAACAAAAAGGAAAAATCTCACCCGAATCAGTGCTGCTTTCTCTTAGGCCCAAAAATTCGAGTTTCCTCTCCTGTTTCTCCTTCTAAAACGTCCTGGTGTGTCTTCCCGCTTTATTCTTCTTAACTAATCCCAAATCACTGGCTGATGGCTACTCCAAAGCACGATAATTGTAGATTTTCTTCCAAACCTCAATTCACACTGCTTCATTCAAGATGGCGACCTTCGTTTTTCTCTCACGTGATGGCATGAGTCATAGGCACAGGTGAACACATTTTGAAATCAGGGGCACTGCATTGCAGCAATTGAGGGGATTCCCCTTTTTGTCTTGGAATACCCCAGAATTCCCTCTAGTAAACAGGGCTTTCCCTAACTGCACAAATGGGAAAATTTAAAAGGCTAAATATAAAAATGAAATTTTCCCACATACCCCCCTTCTAGCTTTTATGTGCCCTCACATAAAATAAACATGTGCAAACTAGAAGAATAAGTAACTCATAACTGGTCAAAGTCTTTAATCTTCGCTAATGGAAGAGCCCTTTTGCTCTCGGAGGCTCTTCCTCTTTCTTGCTTCTGCGTGCTGATCTGGGTAAACCCTTAGAGGGGGCTTGAAGTGGACTTCTTGTTTCCTTGCTTGAGGAGCTCTTGGAAAAAATCTCCCCATAATGACGAGCTCTTGGGAGGACAGTCTTTCTGGTGCAAGGAGCTCATATGAGGAGGGCCCTTGTGATATGAAAAGCTCCTGAAATCATCCTCCTCATGCAGAAGACTTTTTCTTACACACTCCTTTCTTGGAGGACTTCTGTTATTAGCTCTCTCATATGTCCTTGGCCTGGGTTGTGACCTGGAAAGTTGACCTGTCCTTTTCTTAGTCACTGTAAGACTATCAGTGTCTGCCAAAGACTCTCTTTGGTTCTTCATCTCTGTTTTATCATTTTCTCTTCCTTTTATCCTGTATCTTGGTTCTTGGTTCACATTCTTGTCAAACCTTGTCTTCTTGTTCTGTTCCACAACCTTTGCAAATGTTACTCTCCTCTCATTTCTCTTAGATCTTCGCAAAGGCAGAAGTGACGGGGCTCTGTCCGAGGATGGCTGCCTCTGCTTGTTCTGCTCTTTGGGCGACGTCTTCTTAGAGGTGGTTTGATTCTGCTCATCTTGCACATGATATTGCTCCAGCACTGCCTCGTCATCAAAAATCATCTCCAGCTTGTTGAAGTTTATTACTGCTCCACTTGTGGACATGTACTCTAAACCAAGAATACCAGCTTGAGCAATGTCAGCTACCACTGTGGTGATCAATGTTGCTCTCCCTTTAATCTTTATCTCTCCAGTAATCTCGCCATATGTAGAAAGGGGAGATCCATCAGCTTGTAGAAATACTTGAGACGGAGGCTTCAAACGTTGTCGTCGATGTTGTGGTATTTTGTTGTAGCTCTCTATGCTGATCATATTTCGCATGGCTCCGGAATCGATGAGGAACTGCATTGAAGTTCCACAAAACTTTGCATCAGCAAGGATTTTCCGCACTACTGGTCTACTTCCAGGCTGTAAGTCAACACCGTTATTGGTCAAGAACCTAATAGGACTGACATTACTGAATCTTGAATCGTTTCTAGGTCGCTGAGGCTTGGGACAAGCTGTGGCAATATGCCCAAATCCATTGCAATTGTAACACTTAGTTTGTGAGCAAGTGGTCATTGAATGTCCTCGTTCTCCACAGCTCCTGCAGGGATACCTCGTACCCTCTCTCACTTGAGATTTTGGGCTCTCTTCTTTCTTTAAGAGATTCTTCATTTCTGTCAGCAATTCCTTCTTGAATCCCTGTATCAGCTTGGCAACTTCATTATAATCTTCTTCAACAGTGCAGATGCTTTGCTCTTTTGACCTTTCTTTAAGTCCGTGTCTTATTCTCTCGGACTCTTGGTAGCTCTCCTCTCTGAGAGCAATCTCTATGCTCTTGTCTAATGTTGATGGCTCTTTTCTGTGTATGGCTCGTCGCAGCTCCTCATCGGGAATTGCTTGCTCGAAACTCCTACGAGCGAGCCTATCTTGAGCATCCCGGCTCATTTCAGGATAAGCCATGGATGTCAGTCGTCGTATATGTTGCCCCAGACTTTGCAAGGATTCCCGAGGCTTTCTCTTTCGACTACACAGCCCTGCTTCATATACATCGGCCTTGCCACCTGGGCCAAACCTCTTTTCAAGGGCTTCCAGTAGGTCCTCATAACAGTAGCCACTCTCCAACTCTAGGACAATCTGCTGGGCATCTCCTCTTAGGTTGGTGGCTAAATACTGAGCTTTTTCTTTGTCTGTCCAGTTATTGTTTTCAACACATGTTTGGAAATACGCCTTATACTCCGGCCAGGGAAGTGATCCATCAAACGTTTGTGTGGGTTTAATCCTACCGTGTTTCCCTGCATTTGATGATTCAACCGCTTTTCCACAAATCTCTATAGCTCTCTGGGCCATTTGCAGTACAGAATCTAGCGCTGAGGTATCCGGGGCATTTGAAGCTTCTTTATCTCTGCTCTTCTTATCAGGAGACACATCGGGCTCACAGTCTTGTTCTTGCCCCTTGGATCCGATTGTTGTCTCTTCTGGAGTAACTCGGGATATCTCATTATCGGAACTGCGGGATGGTAGCTCCAGGTGTGGATTCGCCATCATTAAGTTGTGATCTACCCCCTCTTCTGGATGCCGCTTCTGTTTCAACTCAGGCCTGTACCTGGGCTGAGGACTTTCTTTCATGGCTGTTTTCTCTGCTCTTCTACTCGAAGAAGCAAGTTTCGGTACAGCACCACCTGACTCTTTGCTAACCTCAACGTATGACAACATGGGATCTGGATTTCTCTGCATTCCTTTTACAGAGCAATTACTCCCCCCTTCCAGATGTGACCTATCCTCCATCGGATGAGCTTGAAATCTCCTTCCAGGAGGAGGCAATGGAGGCTCTCCATACGTGGTCCGTTTCTCCCAAGTGGAGCGTACTGGGTCATCTTGCTGACAGGCAGTTTCCTGTTCCTGCTTTACCCGTCTCTCTTGAACCAAATATGGAGGCAGCCAACCTCCCGCTTCCCCGGGGACTGGCTCAAACATCATTGGTGTGTCTTCTCTAGGAAAGTTAGCTTCTAACTGCTCTTGCCCACACTCACGGGGACTTATTCCTTTGTATCTTGAAAGGGTCTGTTCATCAGTACTCATTGTTTTCTGATATGACAGTCCGCTTTGCTGAGAAACT